ATGAAGTAAACTGAGACCATCTTCCGGACTGGTTGATTACACACATTGGACCCTGCCTCGAGTTCGATGCTTTGCTTTTTCTTTCCTTCCCTCTTCGGTGCAGAACTCTGTTGCAAAGTTATGTGGCTAATTGTTGGACAGATATTCCACAATTTGGATTTTTGTTTTCTTTGTGCCTCACATGGACAAACGACATATGATAAAAGATGTTGGTTGCTGAAATTTATTACCAATTCGTTTAAATTGCTATGGCTCGGGTTGAGATGGGGGGGCTTAGCTTCTGGGAGGATGTTTGGTCTTCTTTCCTCGGCGGCGACTCTTCTCGGTTTCATGTGCCCCTGTTCTTCTCGTGGTGTCGCGGTTTGCGTTGCTAAACCACACAGGGTGGGGAGGGGAGGGTAGGGGGTTCAGAGTTTGTCTGGGAGCCATCGTTTGGGGATGGCTGTTTTTTTTTTTTCATTCATGAGGTTTCTTTTTTCTTCGTTATTGTCTACGCCGATGTACAATGTAAGCTACATATTCTTCAGGTTATTACACTGCCGATTTGTCAATTACCTTTTGTAATTTCATGGAGGTCTACTGCAGCTCTTGGATTGCTTTCTCACAGACTGTCAAGCTCTCATCAGGTTTATTATGAGTGATCTTAAAATAGTCTCCCTTAATGTTAAGGGAATAAATAATGTAATAAAAAGACAAAAGATCCTAACATTCTTGAAAAAGGAGAACACAAAAATAGCGTTGTTATCAGAAACCCACCTAACTGACAATGAGCACCTTAAACTGAGGAGGAATTGGGTAGGCCAGGTGTTTTACTCATCACATAACTCTAAGAGTAGAGGAGTTGCCATACTTATCCATCGCAGTCTTCCCTTTACATTGGAGAAAATTATGAGCGACAGTGATGGTCGCTATGTTCTTATCTCAGGTTATCTTTATGGAGAACACATTTTAATAGGTTATATATGGTCCAAATATATATGAGGCTGCTTTCTTCCCAAAACTTCTGTCGAATATTGTATCGGTACATACACCATATGTTGTTTTGGGGGGAGATTTTAATTGCATTCATGACCCATGTTGACCAGTCTCCTCCTAGATCCACTGCAACCTCAAGAAAAAGTCTGAGATTGCGAGAGTTTTGCCAAGACTTAGAACTGTATGACACCTGGAGAGTCACTAACCCCAGAGAGAGAGATTACACTTTTTTTTCTCAACCCATCAAACGTTCTCTCGGATTGATTTCTTCTTATCTTCGAGAATGATATTGGATCGAGTTAGAAAATGTTCAATTGGCACATGTACGATCTCCGATCACTCTCCTGTTATCTTATGTATTAGCCCCCTTATGCTGATCCTGCTTCTCGTCACTGGAGGATGAATCCCTCTTTACTGAGCTATCCATCTTTTATTGACTATATTACAGATCAGTGGAATTTATTTTTGGATACTAATAAGACTCCAGATGTTGACCCCTCGTTGCTCTGGGAGACGGCTAAAGCTTTTATTAGGGGAAGTGTCATATCATATACCACAGCTCTGAAAAAATCCACCATTAAAGAACAATTGCACTTAGAAAAAACAGTACAACAGCTAGAGTTGCAATTTAAAAATACACCTTCCAGACCACTTTCTAAAAAATTAGAAGCAGCTCGCTCAGCTTTAAATCAATTACTAACAAAACAAGCAGAATCAACCATTTTCTTTGCTAAGCATAGGCTATATCAATCAGGGAATAAACCGGGCCGGCTACTAGCAAGGCTAACGAAAGGCAGAATGGAAGCAAACACAATTTCATCATTACAGGACAATAATCGAGACAGACATCATAAAACGACAGACATTAACAGGATTATGAGGGAATTCTATCAAAAATTGTACTCATCTGAATGTGATTCATCCAATGTTAAAATTACAAAATTCTTAAATGGAGTAACAATCCCTCGCCTAACAGAGGAACAACAAGAAGCCTTAGGCGCCCCAATCTCTCAGGAAGAAGTCAGAGAAGCCATCGCCTCCCTTAAGGGCGGAAAAGCTCCTGGACCCGATGGCTTCTGCCCAGAATTTTATAAGAAATTAAGCCACCTGGTGGTAGGACCACTTACTGACATGTTTATCCATTCATTTGGGCGGGGAGACTTGCCTCCAACACTTAATTTGGCAAACATCAATCTCATCCTTAAAAAAGATAAACCATCAGACATCTGTGGCTCATATAGACCTATTAGCCTTATCGGGGTTGATTGTAAACTGCTCTCTAAATTACTCGCAACGAGACTGGAGAAGTTTTTGACTTTTTTAATAAACCCAGATCAGACTGGGTTCATACAGAATCGTTTCTCTTTCACAAACATGAGAAGGTTACTTAACATAATTCAGTATTCAAGCCAAACTCATTGTAGAGCCTTTGCAGTATCTCTAGATGCTGAAAAGGCATTTGATAGGATTGAGTGGAAGTACTTATTTAATGTTCTGGAGAGATTCGGGGTAGCAGGTGAGTTTTTAAAATGGATCAAGATCCTTTACAGTTCCCCTTCAGCCTGTGTTCTGACTAATGGTGTTCAATCTCCACCTTTTGCAATACATAGGGGAACTCGACAGGGTTGCCCTCTATCCCCGCTTCTATTTGCCCTTGCGCTGGAGCCCCTAGCAGTGGTTATTAGATCACAGCAAAATATACATGGCGTAATGATTAGTGGCAAAGTCCATAAAATAGTGGTATACGCAGATGATATTCTGTTATTTGTAACAAAACCCAATATCTCAATACCAGCTATCTTGTCTACTATCTATGAGTTTGGTTCCTTCTCAGGTTATAAAATCAATTTTGATAAATCGGAAGCGATGCCTCTAGGTATTGCTACTGTTCAGGACCTACCCTCTAGCTGTTCCCTGAGATGCTCCCAACAAGGCTTCACTTACCTTGGAATTAATGTGTCCCCTAACCTGTCAGAGTTATGGAAGCTTAACTTATCTCCAACACTTAGCAAAATAAGGAGGGACTTAGAAAGGTGGCATGACCTTCCCTTATCATTTATGGGGCGTATAAGTTTGATTAAAATGAACATTTTTCCACGACTTTTATATCCCCTCCAAATGTTACCCCTTTGGCTCTCCAAAAAAGTTACTACGGATATAGAGAGGGAATTTTCCAGGTTTATTTGGCATGGAAAGAGACCACGACAGAAAATCAGAACTTTACAGCTTCCTGTGGACAGAGGTGGCTTGGCTTTGCCAAACATCTACTATTACAATTGGGCTTGCCATGCTCGTTATCTCTGGGAATGGCTACATGCTCATCTCAACTCGGATCCCTGCCTGGATTCGTGGGCTTCTCAGCCTGCTTCCTTGTGGAGCCTCACAACTGGCGATAAGAAGAGACTATCGAGAGATATTAAACATAATCCAATTATTTATAACACAGTTAGAGTGTGGCAGAGAATTTGGAACCATGCAGGAGGTGGGCCCTGCTCATCACTCCTGACTCCCCTTACAAGAAACCAGGATTTTACCCCAGGGCTGGAGCCCAACATTTTTGACCTGTGGCATGGCAGAGGTGTGAGAGTGATCGGAGATCTTTTTGCAGAGAATCTACTCATGACATTTCAACAATTACAGTCAAAATTTGATATTCCTAAAGAACACTTTTTCGGTTTTCTCCAAATTCGCCATTTCATCAGTTCTATGAGACTATCCCAGTCTGGCTTGGCCACATGCAATGAGATTGAAAAATTTCTTGTCGACCGGAAAAATCCTAAGCATTTTATCTCTGCTTTCTATGCGGTGCTCTGCTCTCTCACCCCAGGCGGTGCCAGGGACATTGCGCGGAAATGGGAGGGAGACCTTGACACAGAATACATTGAGGATGACTGGCAAGAAGCCATTGATGTGGTCAATTCAACCTTTATATGTAATACGCTCAGAGAGACACAGTATAAAATACTACATCGTCTACTATAACACCCTTTATACTGAATAAGATGGATCGCCAACTCTCCCTTATGCAATAAATGTGGAAGGGAAGTTGGAACATATTATCATTATTTCTGGCAATGCAAATTAATTAAACGATTCTGGAGTGCAATCTCTAAAGAGCTGAGTGATGTGTTTCATGTAAAGATCAGCTGTGACCCAGGTCTGTTCCTTCTTGGCCTCCCCTCAAAATCAGTCACTCTGGCACAATCACACTTCAAACTTTGTGACAAATTATTGCTTCTGGCTAGAAAATGCATTTTAATTAATTGGATTAAGGATAAACCACCACTGTCACACAGTGGTATAGAGAAATATTTAGGGTTCTCCCCCATGAAAGGATTAGTGCAGTTATTAGGGGTAATGAGAAACATTTCATTGATATGTGGTCTCCTGTGCTTAACTATTTACCTAAAGAGCTGATGCAACTTGTGAGGAGAGGTCAGAATCCCATAAAGTGGAAGGTCTCACCAGCACCTATCTAAAGAGCACCATCCGCTTGTCTTATGTATCTTTTCTCTTCTTTCTTTGATTGTCCGGCTAGACATAATTGTGTGGTTGTCAGGGTTTAAATATGTCTGTGAATGTTTGCCGACCACTGTAGGCATGATTCAATGTGAATGTGACATTGTACAGCGGCCTTTTTTTTTTTTTAATTTTGTATTTTATTTTATTCTTTTTTTTAATTTTTTTAATTTTTTTTAATTTTATTTATTTATTTATTTTATTTTTTGGGGGGGCAGGGGGGGAGGTGTTTTTGTTTCTCTTCCTTATCATATACTTATGTAATATGATAGACAACACAGTGTACAATGTTATATTTCCTATGTTTGTGAAACACAAAACTAATAAAAATGTTTAAACAAAAAAAAAAGAATGCAAGCCTGGAACGATGATCAGGTGTGATGATCAGGGCGGGGCGTCAAGCCATCCAGTGAAATATGTGCAATGCTTTCAGATCAACGTTGCAACAAGATCAGAAGTTTCTCTGGTATTGCTTCTGTGCTATTTAAATAGCAACGCTGAGAATATTTTTAGTTGAAAACAAAATGTTTACTGAGCTAAAATCAAAAAATGTCAATACACAACTTTACAAGTGCAATAACAATGTGTTCATGTATTTAAAAAAGGTAATTTTGACATTCTCAAAGACAATAGCTGATACCTAGCACAGATTAAATATTCCAGAACTGTAACAAACAGACATTTATAACTCTAAGGTTACAAACAATGAACACTGAGATGGTGGTTTCTCCAAGCAAAGCAAAAAAATATCTGAAGAACAAATAAGGACGAATTCACTGACTAACCAGAGGAAGCATAGAATCAGCCACGGGACTGATCAAGTTGGCTAAATAGGTATTGATGCACCAATCAACCAGTCACTGATTGAAGTCAGTTTTTCCTTGGACAGCTCTGTCTGATGATCAGCAGGTCAAAGGTCACAGGAGGAATTGGGCATTTTGGTGCAGAAAGCTCCTAACATGACCAGTAGTTATGCAAAGTTTCCACCAGTCAAGCATTTATAACCCACAACAACAACTGGTCTGGTGATTTGTATCTTCAGTGCACCATCAGTTTTGGGTTATTTTAATAAAAAAAATAATAATACATTAATTCAATATCTAATAAAATTAATAAAAAAAACATTTGAAAGAATAAAAAAAACAAAAGTGAGGCTCTGTGAACTAATAAATGTTCTGATGGAGTTGTTTTAAACTGCTGAAAACACATGTCGGACAAGCCTTTAGCTTCCACTAAAGATTCATTTATAGTTTCTTCTACCTCATAAAGATACAACATCTTTCTACCTCGGGAAAGGGAAATAAATATTACCCATAATACTTCCACAGAAACACCGTTAACTGTTTAATGCTGTGCAGGTTTTAGGTACCAACATGTCACAACAGTGTAGAAGCTTTCCAGTTAATTCTATTTTGGAAGTTGAAATCCAAAATATCTGCTTAGGACAAAATATCTGTTGCTGATAATGCATTTTTTTTCTGGTCAATGTTTTTCACATTTAATTATTGGGAGAAGAAAAATATTTTACATTGTAAATCGACAGATTAAGATACAAAAAGAAATCAGTTCTGGTCGGGAAAACATAATCAGTGCACCTGTACAACTGAGACTGAATTTAAGAAACTGTTTCACGGTTTTATTACTTCAACAACACTCATTTGTGCAGTTTTATTTTTCCTGCAATGAATGTCATATCCACCAGGGGGCGCTTGCCTTTCAGGACAAACATTCAAGTCCTCTCTTTCACCCCTTACACAAATAGAAGCAGGCCCCCCCTCCTCCGTCCTGCTGTTAGATACATCCCAGCTCTCAGTCGCTTTCACTCATTGGGGATGTCAATGACGAGCTCGGCCTCGTCTCCCTCCCCTCTGTCCTCGTCTCCCCTGTCGCTGTCCCCGTCGCTCTCACCTTCCTCGTCACACGCATCTCCGCTGAGCATTTGTTTGGGAACCCAGCTGAAGGGGCCGCTGGCTGTTTGAGGGGCACCAGAGGCTGACGTGTAGTTAGCCCCCATCGGACCAACAACCTGAGGAGGAGGAGGGTACAAATGATTTCAAAACCTTGACACAGGAAAGGACAAAAACCTCTTAAATAAAAGATGAGTGACAATGGATGACTACGCCACAGATGTATAAATAAAAACAAGACAAAACATGTGTTATGTGTCTTAATTTAAAGAATTGTTGCATGAAAAGACACTGTTATGCATTACACTGAGTAAAATAAGATAAAATCTGAAATAAACTAATAAATACCAAATATTTGCAATATCTTTTATGACTACTGCTCTCTGTAAATATCTCCAATCCCCCTCCTCTCACCTTCCCTGTGGCCTCTCGCTTGTTTTTTGGCGTCTTTGTTTTTCTCTCTTTCTTCATTCGCTCAGCTGGAGGTGCCAAATACTCTCTTAGGAAGGGCATCTGCCCCACACACATGCACACCCCGATTTTTCCAAATGACCACATGCACACATTCATGAGGAGTTTACAACACACACATACACAGGCCAAACACAAAAGAACAAACACAGGAGAATGAGCGGTACAGAGATGATGAAGGCATTAAAAAAAATAAAAACTGACAACAATAAAAAGAGGCATGAATAAAAGAATGCTCAATGAATATAGGGATTATGCCTGCAGATGATAAGATGGTAATGGCTGCAGAGGAAGAGATGGAGAACTCACAGCGTTGAGGTACGATCCAGCGCTGGACGACTGTAGGGTGTTTACTCCAGAACGGGACAGCAGAGAGAGATGAGGCGATGATGAAGAGGAGGAAAGGCAGGCTCCGGGGCTGCTTTTTCTTCTGAAAAACAAGAAAAAGAAGCTGTCAAAAACGATGGATATAATATATATGAAAAATGAAACATGCCTAGACATCTGCAAAGCTGCAATATGCTCCTAAGTTTGATTTCCTGACATCAGGAAGAAGTTAATGAATTATTTTTTTCAAAAGACATTCTTAACATAAATAATAAGACAATAAATTACATATTATTTTGCTCAAAGTGCATTTTCCAAGACTTCTAGAAAGCTGCAATATCTTGGATAATGGCAAATACAAGCCTGAAAACACAGATGTTTTAGGATTTGATTTAATGGTTTTTACAATTAAAAAGCTTTCATGGACTTTAATCAAAAAGTCCATGAAAGCTTTTTTAGACAATATGCAGATCTAGTTAGATCATTTTCTAGCTCATAAAACTTTGTAGCTTACTTCTTTGCAATTTCTCGTTCTCTTTCCCTCTCTCTTAGTCCTTCCCCTTCACTGTTTTCTGAAGAAACTGTTGCATCTGAATCTGAGAAAGAAGTAAGAAAGCATGATTCAGTCAGAAAGTAAAATAGATAATATAGATTTTTTGTTACACCTACCAGAGGAGTCTTCATCAACCCTCTCATACTGGAGCAATCTGTCTAGCAGGAAGCTGGAAACCAGGTTGGAGCTTCAGTTTACCACGATTTTGTTTTTCCAAACACGTGGATATGTTCAAGCAAAATCAATCTCACCTTTTGTCTCGGGAAACCTTCAGAAGCTTCCTTTGTGCTCTTCTCAACTCCTCCTGAAAACATTCCTGTTCCTGTAAACCAGCAACACAGCAGTAAAAACTAAGTAAAGCACGAATCCTGGGATTAAAACAAGGAAACAAGAAAAAAGGAAAAATCACTCACATAAACAAGGAATTTTAATTTTCTTTTGAGATTTTTGTATTTCCGCTTGTAGTCGACCTCGACGTCTGTCTGACCGTTCATTTCTGGAAAATTAAGATGCAAAACGATTAAAAATCAACCATCTGCGAGCTGTTTCGGCGCAGAGTGGGTTGTATTTGAAACAGTGCTGAGAACTCCGTAAGCTAAGCTAGCTGTAGCACCGCTGTTTTAATGCCACGTTTGTCAACGTGCAGGACACAGACTGAAAACATATAATATCTTGAAAAAGTAAAAAAAAAAACCTCTGAAAATATCAAAACTCTTTGAAAATATCTTTAGCTACCTCTAGCTTGGGTCGGTCTCTGCGACATCCTCTTGTTTACATGCGTCTTGCTCCACAGCATTTCCGGTTAGGTAGATTCAGCACAGCTAAGTGCTGCCCCCTGCCGGTGGTAAAAGATGCTAACTGAGCCCAGACCAAGTACTGAATGCCAATCCTGGAAAGTAATGCCCAGAAATGACACCAGACAAGGATAGCCTGAGGCTCTTGTTTTTTCAGGACCCTCAAAAACACGTTACAATGAAATCAGTCATTTCTATTGACATACGCATTCACTGATGATGGCAGGATTGTAGCCTTAGCTTGCCCTTAGGGAGCTGCAGCTGTCTGACATGATCTAACATGACTGTATTATATGTGTTTTTTTTATTTGTCATACGTAATATTTTTATATTTTCCAAAAATAATTTTGGAGCTTTTTTATGCCATAGTTATCTAAATTAGCGGAAATAAACACACAATGTTGTCCTGTCCATGCAAAAACATGAGCTTCCATTTTTAAAATGAATTATAGCATTTTCAATGGCTTTTCCAATTATCAATATATAAATGTATTTTCAATGTAAATTCTTTAATTTTTGTGTCCTAATATAAAATGGTTTTGCTGTTTGTTGTACTTTCTGATCACAACTTAGATGTAAAAAAGGGTAATGTACAATATTCACAATATACTTTCTCATTTTTAAGTAGCAACTTAAAAATGTAAATATTTTCCTTTTTCTTTGAAAATACTTTGTGTGGCTCAATCATATAAATCTCACAGTAAAATACTTTGAATTTGGTTTGTATTTTAAAAAGTGCGTTAAATAGTCAAATTTAATAAATAAATAATGCACATGCAATGATCGAATATATTTCAAAGAGGAAAAATCTTTCAGTGAGTCATAATTTGGAGCCAGCTCGACTCTCCCTCAGTGAAACCTCCGATGCCATCTTGCAGTAAGATTTTGTGCCTTACTGATCTCCCCCTGAAAGAGTCCCCTCCACCTGCAGCAGGTTGTACTGCACCAAGTTTGCAGCCTAACCTTAGCTCTCTACAGTCACTTACCCGGGCACAGAATCATGAATTATAGATGAAGAACATTTGCAGAGACGCTGCTTCAGTGCACATACCCATAGCCTGTAGTCAGACCCTCTGTGTTTGTGTGGGATTCGTTGGGGGAGGGGGAACGGAGAGATAAAGAGGCGTGGACGGGACTACAGCATCCTGTTGGAATACAGATAGCATCAACCTGGACATTTAGTTTGAGTTCCTCCCTCTCAAAACAGAGTGCTTTCATGCACTTTCACCCAGCAGGGCAGTAATAGTTCATACAGCTCCAACCCAGGATCTCCAACCCACCCCTTCCAGAAACATCCCAGAGCCACCTTTCAAAAATAAACATGGATCCCCTCCCTTCCAGGCACAATAACTGATATGAAACACAATCTCTGACTGGCTGGCTGCCTCTCTTGTTGTTTTCCAAAGACACAGGCAGACAGAAATAGATTCATCTGTTTCTGCTTCCATAAATCGCTGCTGCCAACCTCTCCCTATCAGCCAACAATCCCTCCTGGCAGCTCCAGTCCTCTGCCCCTCCTATTGCTCCCCTGCTTGTTTCAAATGGATCCATATATTCTCAAGTCAGGCTGTTGCTCCTGATTACCAGAGCCTGTCGATGCGTTTCGCCTTGTGAATTTTCTGCTTCAATGTATGTCCTTGTCTTGCATTCATTGTGTCAGCATGTGTGTTCCTGTCTATTCCCCCCCTGGTCTCCCTATCTCCTTGATGTGTACTAATGTCCTTCACGTTGCCTCACCCTCAGAACTCCTTCTATCACTCTTTTTATTTCAGCTTCTCTGAGGTCCTTTTGCTTCAGCTTTGCTCCTTATTCAGGAAACTGGAATGTACCAGAACCACACCAAAGACACAAACAACAACTGCAGCAAAAGCCTTCTCTGTGAGAACAAGGTAAGCTTCATGGTTTGTTGATCTCACTGGCTTCATGACATGTCCGCATTTGTTGAAAGGTGAACCTTTTAAGCAAACAAATTCTGGGAAACTTTTCTGCTCCCTTTGCCTTTTCTCCAATAACCTGCCTCTCCTGTGTGTGTCTGTGTGAGTGTTACAGGCCAAGCTTGTTCAGGCTATTAAAAGAATCAAACATGAGGTAGACGAATGCAGAGAAGCAGAGAGAGACACTTACACAGACTCGGTGGAAATAGAGGTATTTCTGCTGCATTATTCATTCTTCACACCAACACAAATACGCTCCTGTCAGACACAAAAAGTTCAGCTCAACACAGAAAATAAGACAGAATAATTAGGACTGAAGTCGTATGAAAACATTGAGGTAAAAACATGCCTAACAAAAATAATCCTCACAAAAATAAACCCCTGGTAAAGAGGAGCTACAGAGATCAACAACTCAGGTTGGATAATCAGTCAAAAGAAGAAAATTATAAGTAGTCATGTTTTGGATTACAAATGTGTCGAAAAGGGTGGCGCAAAAAACCTGAAAGTTACTACAAAAGACTGGTCTTAGAAAATTCAACTAAGTTACCACAGATATGCCACACCACAGTGTGACAGAGCTTGATCTGCTTTGAAAATAGACATACAGACCAAGTGTCTTGGTCTGCAGTTAAGAAACCATATTTGTTCTTCTGTCTTCATTTCTTTTGACTTTTGACTTTTTCATATTAAAATAAATATGAAAACTCAAGGGTGCTAATAATTGGGAGTTTCTCTCAAAAATTTACAAAACATTCTTACTTGTAGAAAATTAGAGAAAGTATCATGAAATCCTGGAGGGACTCAATAATATTGTTTAATTTGTACGAATTTTTTTTTTTTTAACAATTTGGTGAACAGGTTTTATCAATACATTCTGACACAACCGACCCATGTCATTCAAGACTATGACATGAAAATGCCTCTGCTTGTGTGAGAAAATGAGATCAAGACAACCATATAAATCACTCACAACTCTTTTAATTGAAAAACAACTTCAACAAAGCTAAATAATTTTATTTAATTTACATATAAAATACGTAACAAACTGCTTTCTGTTTTCAGAACAGGTTTGATGAACTAGAACGAGAAATCAGAGCCGAGTTTCAGAACCTCCATCGCTTCCTGGAAGAGGAAGAGGACCAGGACCTGGAAAGACTGAAGCGAGAGAGACAGAAACTGCTGAAGCAGCTGAAGGAGAGAGAGAAGAAGATAGATGCACAAGGAAGGGACCTGGAGAGAGCAATAACGGTGCTGAACAGCAAGTTGGCCGAGGAGGATAGTCCTAAACTGTTCAAAGTGAGGAAAACAAGGAGGACAGAAGATTACTGGTTTGGTTTATTATTAATGTCTTGCTGCAGCTACATCAATAAGCTCTGATGTTCCAGCATGCAGGAAGAAAACATATAAACATATCATACTTGTGATTTGTTATGATTATGCCTTGACACTCAGAGCTGCAGGAAGATACTGTGCTGCATGTTTGCATCGAAGTAAATCTACAGAGCTGCATTTTATTCGTTCTGCTGCATCTTCTTGGCTCTTGATCAGTTATTGATGCCGATCAGCTAAATAGTTGTCTTGTCTAGTTTACAAGTGCAAATCAATTTCTCATTTAAAACGTAAAGGACAGGAGACACTCAGTGCATTTGTCAGCAAATGAAATGTTGAATCACTGCTTATGAGTCGAGTTGGCTATGATCATGTTCTAAACTTTGTCTCACTGCAGGAAATCCAAGATCTTGTAAAAAGGTTGGTTTATTTCACAGTGTTCTTTCATAAATGCATACTTTTTGTCCTGCTGTGTGTTAATAATCTGTTTATAGTCTAGTATTCTGTTTGCTGTGAGCTCCATGTTAGCTTTTCTCCTCTCATTTCGCTGGTTTAGGTCTCAGGTCCACTTCATTCGTCCTGCAGAGGTGGACACAGAGGTCCACTCAGGTTGGTTTGTGGGTCCCATCCAATACAGGATATGGAAACACATGAAAAGCTGCCTCTACCCAAGTATGTGTCTCCGCTGCTTTGTGAAAGTATTCACAAACATTTTCACATATTCTCACATTACAGCTACATACCTCTAACTATTTTAGCTGAATTTTATGTGCAGTACCAGCACACCACCTTAATGACCACAGTAGTTTGGGGTACAGCAATAAATAAAAAAGATGTAATAAATAGTTTTTTGTCATAATTTTCATTGTTATCACAGTAGTACTGCAAAATAAAATTCTAAGTCCATGTCGCCCACTTCACAATAAATGTGACATCTTGATTTATGGATTGTAAAACTAATGGCTGCACAGATCCTGAGTTATGGATCTGTGCAGCTCCAGACTTCCTCTTTGATTTGTCTTTCCTTATTTAGCTTGTCGGTTCAGATGGATGATCGTATGCAGGTAGGTTTCCAGTTGCATCATATTGTTTCTGGTCTGAGATGATGGACTTTACAGAGATCTCTGAAATGTTGACCCCTCCTTAAGATTCTCCACACCTTCCTCCCTGACTTGTCTGCGCTGTTCATTGGTCTTCATGATGCTGTTTGTTCACTGATGTTTGCCAAAAAACCTCTGAAACCTTCACAGAACAGCTGATTTACTGTCAAGTTAAATTACACACAGATAATGACCATTACTACACAATGAAGAACAAGTTTGTTTTAACAAAATAAATTCTCCACACACACACCTGCAGTTTTTATTAAAGTTTCATTCATATGGAAAGAAATTCATTAGGAAACATGATTTTTTGTTTTGTTTGTTTGATTATGTTTGTTAATTATTTTCATTTTGGTCTTTAAATATCAACATTTAAACATAACTTTATTCTTTGGTCCATCTGATGATGTCATTTTTAAATATTAAATTATTTTTTATATTTTTTTGCTGCGTTACTCAATCCTTGAATTGCTTTTTACCAAATACATTTTCACTCTTGTGAGAAATTTCTTGAATGGCTTTTACTTTTGAGTAAAAATAAGTTGAAGTAGCTGCTTCTCTAAGTTGAGCATATTTTTTGCGTACTATATTTTGATCCAGTTACTCACACACGACACCACATTTTGTTCGTCTATCACATAAAATCCATATGAACACAGTGGTGTGACGAAACGTGAAAACACTCAAAGGGTGTAAGAACTTGTATTGAACATCTTTGACGGCAATATAGGCTCATTAAATCTCTCTGAACTGAAACTGTTTCTGCCGTCAGATATTACATCGGTGAAGTTTGACCCGGATACTGCCCACCCTAATCTATGCCTGTCTGAGTCCTGCACGTCCGTTTGGTTCGATGAAGAGAAAGACACTTCAGAGGTCCAGGCCAACCCACGTCGGTTCCACTATTACTACTGTGTCCTGGGCCACCAGGGCTTCAGCACCGGCCGACACTACTGGGAAGTGGAGGTGGGCTACAAGACGGCGTGGAGGCTGGGCGTGGCGCGGGAGGATGTTCCCAGAGGAGAGATGACGGCGACCGGAACCTCAATCGGCCTCTGGACTTTGGCCTTCAAGGGCGGATCTGTCCTGGCCTGCACGGATCCGAAACCCACCAAGATCAACGTGTCCGCCCAGCTGGTCCGCATCGGCGTCTTCTTGGACTGTGAGGGTGAGGAGGTGACTTTCTACAATGCTGTTACCATGGCGCCCATTTATACTTTCTCCATGGGAGCCGTCATGGCTCCCCTGCTTCCCTTCTTCAACCCGTGTGACACAGACGAAGGAAAGAACATGGCGCCAATCACAATCTTTAACCCCTCGCTTTAGGACCTGAGCGGCTGGATTGATGGACAAGCTGAATCCTAGAAGAATCATTTAAATGTAATTTATTTCTCAGTTTGCTTGATGCCAAACAGGTTCTGGTTTCTTGTCTCGTTTTCATTGCCAACAGCCTAAATTTATTTAAAAGGGCAGCATTCTGTGTTCTCCAGCCATTTACTCGGCTGAATATTTACCACAGGAGATTAAAGGATTTCTCAAACATGCATGAAAGAATAAAAACAACACTCTAGGTGTGTTTTTGATAAGGGAATATTGCAACATGGTGTGAAGGTCAAATAAGTCAGTTGTACATAACACTGCCCCTTTAATTTAAAACAGGAACAAACGAAATGTAATTTATTACTAATAATTATCGTAACCAGAAGAATTTAATTTCCAGACTGATTGTTTGCTATAATGCAGAATAAGCAGCCAAGTTACACAATGTCTGCATTTATTAAAATGATTTTAAGACTGGTCTTTTATTAACATGTAAAGTGAACTCTTTAGAAAATTGAAGCAAACAGCAGCAGGTGCAAAGAGCTTCATGACGTAACCTTTGGCCTGCATATAAATATCTCTGCTATGTTGCTATGACACCCCCCTGCAAGGTTATGGGAGCTCAGAAAATGGCGCAGGGAACAAGAGGTGAGGGAATGGTGCTTGATATCCAAAATGTAATTATAGTTGACACTAAATGATTTATTAATCTGAGAATAGAAAGGAAAAGCTCTGGGACCAAACCGGCTGTGCTGCTGCGTGACAGACAAAGACAAGAAGACAGAAGATGGCATAACCTTTTTGTTTATTCTTAGTATTCATTTAGGCATGAAATAAAGAAAAAAAGTGACCATTTGTCAATACAAAACATCTGCGTGAAGAATTGTGCAAAATGGAAGAACAGAGAGACCATGTGGGGAAGCCACACCACAAACAGTCCATCACAGCAGCAGTGATCAGGGAGGACAGACACGACTGGCTTAGTGTAAGGAGAACCTGTGGTGGCATCAGAGGTGGTTTCTCTCTTTGAGCTGTCAGAAAGTTTCTGGACCCGGTACGATGTGATAACTCTGATCTAGCTACACAAAGCTTTCGTTGGGTGCAAGAACAGAAGAAAAAACAAAGGCTGGTCATGTTCAATACTTTGTCTGAACACAACAGCCCTGTAATTTAGAGACACCCCTCGAGTAAAAAGCTTTAAAATAAAGTACTTTTTTTCACTGCTGCAGCATAATCTTCTACTATTTATAGACAAACAGTTAGACAAGCAGCATGGAGGTGAATCAGAAGGCCCTTCCAGGTCGGTGATCTTTCTGCCTCAGGTTTCTTCTTTGGCATGCTGTGGTTCTCTCTGGGCATGAAAACATGGATGTTGGTTTGACTCTGAAATGGTCTTAGGTGTGGGAGACTGTGTGTCATTTTGGCGCTCTGCAATGAACTCGTAACTCTTCCTGAGCGAACCAGGCCCACAAAGGGCAGGGTAGAAAGAAATCATGATGCCATCCACTGACACTGCAAAAGCACAAAATCTGTAGTTTCTACTGCAAATGTCTCAGTACAGTTGAAATAATACAAAACTAATTCATAAGTAAGATTTCAGCAAAATACAGGAGCTTGTTTTAAGTGAATCGTCACTTAGTATTGATGAAAAAATTATAGTTATGCAATAAGACATTTTTTTCTTATAAGTTGAAATGTGTGGCAGATTATTTCACTTGTAGCTAATACTTTTGTCATCAATATTAAGGAATCGTTCACTTAAATCAAGCAAATATATCTTGCTGAAAAGCTACTTGTCAGTCAGTTGTGTTTTATCCCAAGTGAATTAAAATATATACATTGGAAACCAAACCAAAAACTCTTAGTAGGACTTTGTATTTTTGCAGCGTAAGCCTGCCCACATCATCACAGAGCCTCCACTGTACTTCACAACAGGAAAGAGATATTGTGTTTTGAACATCAGTCTTTTGTTTTTCACAAACCCCCTGTAAAGTTTGTTTTCACAAGGCTCTATCTGGATAAAGTTTACAGTTCCAAATAATGGCACAGTGTAGCAAACACCCCATGTTTTAGTTTGTGACTATTGATCAGAATAAGTTTTTTCTTCCTGCCATGTTTACAGTGTTTGATGGATTTTATGGCGACTTGATGACACAAAAATGCCTCTAGTCTTAAGTTCTGTCTTCAATGTGTATGGTAGACTTTATCAGCTTTGTTTGTTAAACGTTATAATTTTTTTGTAATTGTAGACATTGGTAATTAAAGGCAAGAAGCAATTTCTTTAAGACCTTTTCTAATTTATAAAGACCATCACAAACCTGCCGTTCTTAAATTACTTATTCTCTGATCATTTCCATATTTCTTAAGGTAAGAAAAAATAGGCCTCCATAATATGTTATCTCCGTAAAGGAAAACAAAAAGTCCTAGATTAATGACTTGAACTATTTATACTATTTGATCAGTGTAGATCAGTTTTGTTTGTGACAGTTGTGATTTTGTAAAAAATTTGCTTCATTGTTTCTCTGATTAAATGTCAAGTTGGACTTTTCTAAATATTTAACGTAATTGCTGCTGCAATAGAATATTGCATTTATTATAATGCTTTTTACACATCATCAATCAATGAAGATATTTTAATCATAGTATTATTAATAGCTATATTTTAGCCACCACTTATTGACCAAACGACCCACAGCAGTCTTTCAAATTAATTTGCTGCTACTGTTAATTCCTACATAAACTCTCAGACTCAAGCTATTAAAATAAAGCATTTTTAGCAATCTGCATGCTACACATAATGCTTCTGACACTCACTCACTCACAGAAGGTCATTTTAGGTGAAGAAGTGGCGTTCAGGTGTATATAAAATGCGAGAACATCCTGTTGGCCACCAGGAAGTGACTAAAGACAATCCAATGAACATCGTAGGCACTGAAACAAAAACAAAACGAGCTCAAATATCAATACTTTACTTTGTGTTTAGTTTTTTTTTTCTTTTTGTGGTTCTGAACACATCCACGCTCTTGGCTTGAAACACAGTTTGAGCAGGCACATGGATACCAAACACACAGACGGTACACATTTCACTCTGTACAAACCGCCAGTGCATAGATTCAGCACACGTTTGATCATTTATACATCATAAACCAAAACCGTAGGCACACAGACGCAACAGACAGGTCCCTGACACACAACAACTGCAACACTGATATATCACTTCGCACAGGTACGACTTGTGGATGATAAAAAGCTCAGAACATGTCTTGGGCATGCTGCGGTTGATGCTTAAAGTGACGTAGGCTAAGCATGTTTAATACAGTGTAAGAGATATGTTTCACTGATAACTGCACTAAAAGGAGCTAATATCTGGGTTGTTACATTAGTTCAAGACATTAGTGGAGATTAGTATATATAGTATCTGTAAAAGCATTTATATATTAGATTTAAGGTTGGGAGGAAAATTTGAATTAGTTCAGGTTTTATTTGTTTAATGTGAGACAAGAAGTGTTTTATACATTAGGAACATTCAGCCACTGAAGGGTTAAACTGGCAAACACATGCATTATTTACAGTGTGTGTGTTTTCGTGTGTGTGTGTGTGTGTGTGTGTTTATATAAAGGTTATTGTCAGTATTGCCAAATTGTGACAGTGGTTCCCACACAGATCCAGGCAGTCCCATACAGTGATTTACAAATTTTCATTCTGACTGTAGATGTTGTTGGTTCATACGACTCTGAGGCACATTTGTATACGTGTATAATTTCAATTTGTGTTGTCTTCGTATCAAATCTGACATCTTCTTTTATGGCTTTTTAAGAAATCATCATCATTTACTTCTAAGGTTGGGATTTTCAGAAAAAACTACAAAGGAAGGCCAGCTGAGTGATTTACTTTGAATCATTTTGTGCTGCTTCCGTATTTCCAAAGTTTTAGTTAATTCCAGGATATGAAACCTGTAGCAGGGAAACATCAGGTAGAAAAATTTATTTCCTTTGATAAATGTGTAAGTATCTATGCATCTATTTTTTAGTAGGTAAAACTTACAATGAAATTGTTTTGGTTACATTTTAGCGTACCGCTGGATACACTCAAACCAGTTTAAAAGAGACAGTGTGAACGCACAAATAAAAACCTCACACTGTACACACCTTAAAGAGACAGCTCAGGATTTTTGAAATCAAGTTAAAGATTACAGCTAATTAACATCAAACCTGCAGTAGATAACTCATTTTACTATAAATTCAGATTAGTTGATGCCAAGACTAAAATGAACTTCTTCTCCTTTAAAAATAACACACTGGTTAATGTGAATACTTACTGAGAAATCTTTAAACCATTGTCACATTTTAATTGGTTATTTACTGAAAACATAATGTTTATATACATGCTAAAGTTTGGAGGCTGTGCACCACCAATAATCTTCCTCCGTGAAACATGGACTCAGAATGAAACTTGTAAAGCGATTCTGGTCAGAGAAACTGTCTATTATAAAAGTAAGAAAGAGAGAGTAAAAATTAACAGAATAGCACTAATATAAACCGCTGTAGTATTTTTTCCTCTACACAACACTATTTCTATGTGAGTTACTCTCACCTTAAACACTTTGGAGGTTGCTCTCTCAGTGCGTTTCACATTTGAAGGTTTGTGGTGGACCACAGATCTCCATTTTCCAGGTCAATAATTATTAGCTTGTTTATATAATGCAATTGAAACTGGTTTAAAGGTTCCTGCAGTTATTTGTTTTGGGACAGTAGAACTTCAGTTTAATCTTGGCCTCTCTCAGACCAGCTGTTAATCTAAGATAATCTGTATTTATGTAAAATAAAGACACTGAAGGTCAATGTTAACGCCTCCATTTTTTCACCAGAACCTCATTAAAAAATCTGAACTATTCTCATAACAGAGAGAGATTTTTGCTTTTTGTCACTGCCACCATAACATATCAACATGTGCTGGGTCCAATTTGTCCTGTAAGAGGAATTCATTGGGATTTTGTACTTGTTGTGATGCTAACGACAATTAACTAACATATTAGACCCCATTCTCAACCAAACACAGTCACATAAAGATTGTATGTGTGAGTTAATAAGATACAAACCATTACTCCTGCAGATTTGAGTAAGTTTTATATGTCTACCAACCACTTTGCATAGTGAACTTGACGTTGCCAATGGTCCAGCCAGGACTTCAGCTTAAGGCGGCCATTGCATTTGATTTTCTTTGCAACTCAATTAGACGCTGTCTTTAGACTAATAATACAAAAGCCTTTCTTTAATCTCTGGTTACTGGCTGATTGTAACAATTTATTTTCAAACAATTGCATTTATTCATTTTGATCGTAATGACAAAACTATCCAAATCTCTCTGGTTAAAAGTGTAGATAACATTGTTCTTATTGTTTTGTATTCGGCTTCTCATAAATTCAGATTTTCAAGTTTTAGTCGACTGTACTATTGAAGGAAAGATCTTTAAAGTAAAAGAAAACAGACAAAAAAGAAAAATTAGCAAGGAAAAGCAAATAAACATGTTACTAGAGGAGTCGCGTTCCACCTGTTTGGGATTTGTTTCAGAATTTCCTCCTTGGAAAACCAATATGAAGCAGAAACAGGAAAGCAGTGGGAAGAGAAGGAAATTTGGACAGTGAAATGTAATACAGCTGGGATTTAAACAAAGTCATTTATAAAATCACATAAAAGTTTGACCAAAACTAGTTCATCAGAACTGCAGGGATTTTCTGCTAAAACACATTTCAACCATCGAAGATGTTTTCTGAATCTCTGCATAAAGTAATATTAGTAGTGGTTAAAACAAGGAATATTACTATTTGTGCTAAGTGTTTCTACTTGGTTAAATTTATGAAAATCTTGTTATTATGGACACTTCAGTATCAATAACGTCAACATTTAATCCGTTCATGCTTAGGCTGAAAAAGTTTTGTTTTGTGAGTTTTATCCACATGCTGTTAGAGGAACAGTCGTCTCAACGGGAACCAGTGGTTAGATCAAGGTTAATACAAAATTTTTGCTACACTCATTTGAGAAAATGCCGTAAACCCTCTTTTTTTTGGATATTCTATAAAACACTTCATGTGGAGTTAATATTTTAGTTGTAAACTCTGCAAATGATTTAATTTGCAGTTTGGCAGTTTTTCCAGTAAAATCAATAGAAAACAAGGCGGCAAAACTGAAACGGTTAAGGATTAAAAGCCACTTTTGTTATTTAAACTGTGTGTCAGTCAGAAAGTCTCAAAGGTTAGAATATCACTGTGGGTTTAGCATCGCCCCAGCTTGCTGTGGTTTCCTCACCATTTTGGTAGGGGGTGTTTGATTGTCTGCGATGGTGGTAGACGGGGATCTGTGGGGGTTCCTCGTGTTTTTGGAGCCGCGGTCTTCAGGTCGTAGTTGGATCCTTGGCTGCGGCGCCGTCTTTGCTGCCCTCTGGAACGACGCTGCTGGACTTCAGCTCCACTTCATGGGTTTTAGTGGGAACCTCCTTTGGAGTTGGGTCTTTGATGATTTCTGCATGATCCGGGCTTGCTTTGGAATCGGGTCCCGGATCTGGTGTGCCATTAGTGATGGGTTCTGCTGGGCTTGGTTTGGCGGGCTCAGGAGTTGAAGCCGCTGGACTCTTAGTGTCAGGTGTTGGAGTGGTGGCTGAAGGCAGAGAAATCTTCGGTTCGGGACTTGGAGTGGGTGCAGGCTTTGGATCAGCAGGACTTAGACTAGTCTTAGGTTCTGGACTTGGACTAGCAGCAGGTTTTGGATCAGCTGGACTCAGTCCAGTCTTGGGTTCTGGACTTAGACTGGGTGCAGGTTTTGTTTCAGCTGGACTCAAACCAGACTTTGTACTCGGGGTTGGGCTAAGTTTAGCATCTGCCAGTTTGGGTGTGTCCAGCTTTGCTTCAACGGGCGGGTCAGGGGCTTTTTTCGTCTCAGGAACAGGGCTTGCTTTAGGTTCTGGTACCGGTGGATCAGCCGGCTTGGACTCAGCAGCAGAAGGAGGGCTTGGTTTGATTTCAGGAGCAACAGAGATGCTTCCAGCCTCAGAATCGGGGATTTGATCGGGAACATCAGTGTCAGTATCGAGTGGGAGAGCGGTGTTGAAGCCAACGCCGGAGTCACTGGTCTCTAGATTACCAACGCCAACCTCTTTAGAAGAAACCTCCAGACCCTGCATTCACATAGACAACAAGTGAACATTGTTAGCTGTTTAGTTTGAAGAGTCCAGGTGAGACGTTTACGTACACTGATCATGGGTTTGAGTATTACACTAACTCAAAGCTTTCAAAGACACATTTAAACTTCACTGAGTCATAAACCAGAATTGGTTTCTCCAAACTACAGAGGGTCAAAATTATGCAGGCCTTTATCCTCAAATTAGGGAGGATATAATTTAGACCCTGTATCCTTTAGAGATACAGGCCTGTCCTATTTAAAAGCTGTATCGCCACTTCACCCTGTAAGCAGAACCATTCAAATTGACCTTTGAAAGCCTTAAATTAGCATCATATTCATGTCCATGACAAACTGGAGTTGAGTCCATCTGTTGCAGACAGAGCAGGAAAGGAAAGAAGGAAGGAGTAAGCTGAAATTGCATAGAACAGGAAGAGCGAGTCATAGCTCAGCTACAACGCACCGGGCATGGGCTGGCTGCAGGCTTTGGATCGAGGTTGAAACATATTTAACTCAATAAAAGGCCGCGGCAAACAGAAACAGTTTCAGCCTTAACTTAGGAGAACTGAAGGTTAGGGCAGGCCTCAGGTTTTCTGGGAGTTTGTCGTGGTGCAGAAAATCTGCATGTTCACTTTAACCTTTTCAGGAAAATAAGAGAACTCCCAGAAGACCTGAGAAATCAGAACAGTTCATAAAACGTGAACGGATCAGAGATACATTTTGGCCCTAAATCATTCAACGCTTTTATTCTTTGTTGCACAGGAAGCCACTGCAAGGAATCTGAGACCTGGACTGATGTGATCCACTTTCTTGATCTTAGTCAGGACTCTAGCAGCAGCGTTCTGAATAAGCTGCAACTGTCTAAACGCAGAAAACAGCATAAAAAATATTCAGTCATTATCAAAACTTCTCTGTCTCAGCTTAAGGAATGGGGTGTGATGTCTCCTTACCTTGATGTCGACCTCAGTGCTTTGAGATTTCTCTGTGTTGTCCGCTTGGGAATGCTTGGACTCCTCGCTCAGTTTAGTGATGTTCTTGACCACCTGTAACGATTCAGTGCAAACACATGAAGGCTAATAATTGCATTGGAGCAACCTTCGTTGTGACTGTGAATATATCAGACCTGTCTAAAGGCCTCGCCCTCGTCTTCTTTGCCAGCGTTCTGAGCCAGTTTCTCCAGTGCAGCGGCCCTCTTCGCCCTCTTCTTCACTTTGATCAGGCAGGACAGAAGGCAAACCAGCAGAAGGAAAGCCAGCAGGCCGAGCAGGGCAATGATGGCCACATAGAGGGACTCCATTTTGTGGGCTGTGGGGAGGCACAGAGAAGTAGCATATTGAGTTATAACAACCAAAGATAAATTCCTCCTCATCAAGGAAGGAGAAAAAAAAAACACAACCCCATTTCTGTAAGATGTGTGTTGAAATTACAGAGCGTAACATTTCTTTAGGTGGCAAAAAGTGTCATGTTTAAACCTTTCATGGATGCTTATATAGTAGACCAATATTTAACCTAACACTTTTGAAAAAGAGAAATTATTGAAAAAAAGGTTTTGCAACAAATTTATTTCTTCTTTTTAAAAAGAAGAATCTTTAAAATCTTTACTGTCAGGTTTTCAGTAACACCACAGCTCTGAACATGTGAAGGTTTTAAATACTATAAATCTGAACAAATTGACATTTTTATGACTTCGTATAATTTATTAAGTTTTAAACCAAAAGTCATGACTTGTGGCACGAATCTAGTCTCAGTTTGCTCTATTCCCACCTTACCTTTCAATCCCAGATGGACGGTGGACACGGTGAATCCCTGCAAGTCCGTGATCTTAAAGAGTCCAGCATCTGAGCTCTTGATCTGATCTAGAAAGACCATCGAACCGTCCACAGAGAGGCGGTCCTTGAAACCAAGATCTGCTTGAGCCTGGAATGAACCGATGTTTAATTAGAAAACATGGATAAGATGTGCTGACATCTTATTTAAGAACTCTGTTTGCTTTGTTTTCCAGTCAGTCTCTGAACGTTGGTCCTTTTCCAAACTCATCATAACACCCACATTTTATACTGTGCCACATATTAACTGTGAATTTTGTCATCCAACCAAAAAGAGCCCAGACTGGGTTGTTTTTTGCAACCCAACACAACGGTTCAAATATCTTGCAATATCTTTGAAGAAGATAAGAGTTTGTATATAATTACACTTGTGAACTCTCCCTTATCCATCAGTAGGACGGCTGAGGAGTCTGAGTCTCGGGTGTAGTGGAGTTGGACCAAGGAGCTGTTTAGAATCAGGTTGATCTTCAGTCTCTCATCAGGAGGAAGGAACACAAAGTTTCTGTGCTCTGCAAGAGACAACAGAGAAGGGAGGAAATCTGATAACTTCACAGTCTCTCTGTTGACAGACTGTAAGTGCATTAGCCTACCATTAAGATTTGAGTCTTTAAAAAGCCATTAAAGCATGCCTGGGGAGCATAAAACTAGAGCAACAACAACATCCTGAATGAAGCAAGTCATGCACATGTAAAGATAAATATTCAGCCTTCATCCACTGTCCTCACCTATGACATTCAGGCACACTTTCTGTTTGATAACCCCTTTGTTGTCCCTGACGGTGTAGCTGCCCTCATCGACGCCTGTAACCGCGCTGATGGTGATGGATCGCTCGCTGACGGTGATGCGACCTCGGTAAGGCTCGGTGGAGGCCCCAGCGGCCGTCAGCACCACGAGCGCCGGTCTGCAGGGACGAAAGTCGAAGAAGGTGAACTTTTCTCAACCTTTTTCTCGATGCGTCTCAGACTTGTCTCAGCGCATATGTGTCAAGGCTGAAATATGTCAGTTCTGACTGTTGGGTTCAGAAAGTCAGTGCGATTTTGCTGACTCTACCTGGACGTCAGGTTGGCCTCCACTGAACTGGGTTTGTACTCCAGAGTGATGGGGGCATTCACATTCACCACTGGAATATGAAAGTTTCCGCCATATTTGATGATTTGCTCGATGGTGCAGTCTGGAGGGCAAAACAAGGGGATGAGATTTTATCTATGAGTAAACGGGAGCAGCAAATTTAAATAGAGTTGACAGGAAAGTGCCTGACAATTTCACAAAGGCCAATGAGGCTGGATTATTTGCTTGAGCTGAAATAAGAAATGACAGAAAAACTGTACTGTGCAGGGAAGAGAAAGGCAAAACAGCTTGGCAGATGTAGAAAAAAAAGAGACTAAATGCACAAAAGGAAAGGAGCAGTGACCAGAAAATATCAGGGTAATGAGAATGATAGGGTATGAACAAAACTAAACAGAGAGAAAGACAGAAGAGACAAGATAAGGACAGGAAAACAGAGGGGACGGTCAGAAGTAAGGACAAGTAAAGAGCTGGATAATTGTTGCCTGACATCTCCAGCTTTGCTCTTACTGACAAAAACCAAAATGCACCTCTTCATTAGCTCACATTACTCCCTCCATGTTCTGTACCCACTTACTACTTGCTTTCATCCAAACTCTGAGTTTAAATTGTGATACAGTCTCTTGTGTTTGCGTGGGATTAATCTGACTGGAAAAAGAAGTGACTGACGTGACAACACTGACTCTGACGCTGGCCTGAGGCCTAAAGTTGAAAACTATTCAGTGCCCTCCTCTTTAATTGTAACCTCTGGTTAAGATTTGAATAATTTAAATAAATTTAATCTTTTGTGACAGTAATATAGTCAAACACTGAAAAAAAAGGTGCAAATTTTTATTAAATAAACCCATTTTAGAGAGGAAAAAAATTAAATCTTGGGTATGTAACTTAACTTTTTTTTAAATTATTGTACATATTTGTTAAAACTATTTCAGAAACTACAAAATTAAACTGCTGGGTGAGAAACAACCAATCAGAGCCAGGAGATCCGTACCTCTGACTATTAGTGAAATTTGCTTGATGACACTCGCATCCTTGGAATCCTTCAGGATGTACAGCCCCTCGTCTCCTTCACCCACAGCCTCTATGTTGATGTAGTTGAGGTGCAGGGTGGGTTTGGCCCGACTGCCGATCACTTTGCCGCCCCTCATCAGCACCGAGGTCTTCCGAGGGTCGGAACGGTTCTTGAATGTGACCTCCACGTCTTGAGACGGCAGCAGGATGTGGAAATCCTCTCCATGAAATAGCGTTACGGATTCCTCTGTTTCTGGATCGGAGAACAAGAGAAAGTAAGTAAACATTTCCGATCAGAGGGAGAGGAAACCTCATAAGTGATGCATCAGAATCATGTGATGTGGTGATAAGAGGCACTTTTACCTTTTACAGGGGCAGCGATGGCTGCAAGATCAAATAAAACAGCGTTAAAAAACTATTTGAAAACATTTGATCTATTTCTAGTCAGTTGTTTCCTTTTCTAACATAACAAACTAATTAATATTAGACATCACTTTCTTAAATTGACTGTTTCACAGTTGCCAGTATGGCATTAAATTTAAACTCAAAACATAAAATGAGGCTGTACAGTAAAAATGGTTTCCAATGTTTGTTAATGCATCAGAAACCTTGATTTTTACTCCACATACCTGCAGAGATAAGAAAACTGAGCATAATCACTGTGACTGGCGACATTTTGGAAGATTCCCTTGTATCTGAAAAGGAAAAAAAAATATAGATGTTTACAGTTTTAAAACCAAAAAACTTGTTTTTAATTGTGCTCTTTGTAGATATGTCTAAAATTAAATTAAAAAATATTTTTTATTTTACTGCAGTGACTTAATCACACACAAAAGAGATAAAGTATTCTGACAAAACCAAACCTATCCTCCAATAAAATTTAGAAAATGTAAAGTGTTCACATTCCTGACCGAATAGCTTTTGTGGTGTAGAAAAATAAGATCAACACAAATTTCTTTCAATCCTGTTCCACCTTTAATTTGGAAAATTTAATCTGACAAACAAGCAAATCTGTTAGAACTGATAAGCCAGTAACATGAGTGAGTCAAACTAACATATTGTCAAAGCATCTTTTGTGTGTATAATGATTTCACTCTTGAGAAGGAGTAATTGAAATGCATAAATTAAAGTCTAAATGAATAATATTAATGCTGAAATCTGTGTGTGAACTTACAAAATGTATGCTGTGATCTCACATAAAAGCAATCCTAATAAGGAAAGAATTACTTTCAGTGCAACAAAGTGAGTAATCCCAATTAACAAGCAGAATGAGAATGGCTCCTGTGGATTTCAGAGTCTCATCTGAGTCCAGGCATCAAGACTGGACTTAAAGAAATACAGCTGAGTCCACTGCTTTGAACCCCTTTGAAAACCTTGTGGTTATTCCACCAAATATTGATTTCTGAACTCTTCCTGAGTTGAAATATTAATATTGTTGTTTCTGAATGAACACAAACTTGTTTTTTTTTTTTGCATTGTCTGAAAGCACTGCATCTTTTTTGTTATTTTGACCATTTGTCATTTTCTGCAAAAATAATTGCTGGGTATTTCAGAGACATGTTGGTAGTAGTTCATAGAATAAAAGAACAATGTCCATTTTACTCAAACATAAACCTATAAAAAGTAAAACCAGAGGATCTGATAAGTTTAGGTTGTATCTTAAGTTTTTTCCAGATTTGTGGTTCTGATTTTACAAGTTCAGGAGAGGAAAGAAAAAGCTGCAGCGATGAAAGATGAACAGTGCAGCATGAAAACAGCTGACAGAGAGAGTTGTTTACTGCAACAAGAATGAAAAGAGAAATTTAAACCTTCTTTCTATCTTTCGTTGTTCTCTCTTGCTTCCTTCCTTCCCTCCTTCTTTTTTGCTTCTTTCTTTCTTTAGTCCATCCTTTATTTCCTTCTTTTTCATGCCATCTGATCTGTCTGCAGAGATTCTTGCAGCCTCTGCAAATTAAGTATATCTGACACTGTCTCTGGGTTACAGTTGGTCAACAGGGATGTATTGCGGACTTTGTTGAGAAAGCTGTTTGATTTTACAGCAAGCCCTCCATTTAGTTTCAAATCTGCTGTACTTCTGAGAAAGAAACAGTTTATAGACCTTCCCAAAAGCCACTCATGTCTGAAAAAGGTCATAACTTGGAGAAGGATGCGCATTTTTATGAGGGCCACCTGGCATTGTCATATACTGCTGATTGCAGGGCTGAATTAAAACATAATCTTGAGACATGACGCAATGGAGAGCAGAATAATGACTCGGCTTAATTTAAATCAGGAAATGTGTAGAACAAAAAGAGTAGCGGGAAGTTTGTTTTCCTCAGAAGAATTAAGGAACACCGGAGGAGAAATTATGATGATGTTGCAGATATATCTGGGGAAAAACATGATGAAGGTCTGTAGAGAAAAGATTTTGCTGCAGTTTTATCTTACACAGCCCAGGAGAGGACTGGGAGGGACACCTGCAGTGCTTGCAGTCACACTTTGCGGCAGCCATTAAACATGCGGCAAAGATTAAAGTGTCTCTTTGCAACACGAGACACCATAAGACCTGTCAGTCTGTCTGGAGATAATTTAAATTTTAATATCTACCACAGGAATTAAGACATGTAATATTAGCAGGTTTCCAGAGAACAGCAGCTCTTCATTGTAAGCTGTTATTTAATGAATGCATTTTGCACTGTGTCATAATCTGACAACCAGAAATGCTGTTTCTAACGTCACGAAAGCCTCTTCACTCTGGGCAGGGAGCCTAACAGCCCACTCACTCTATTGTATCTGAAACCAAATGTGTTGCACCAAGAATTGTTTCCTGCCAGACAAACCATTAATACATTTACAATTGATGAGATCAGTCCCAATCTGCCTTTTTAACTTAATACTGAGGGTTTGAAACGTCCTGTGTAGGTGCACAATCGTGCTCTGATTGCAGCAACAAAACAAAAGACTGCTTGCTGCTCCTGACAGAAATGAACATTTAATTAAGGCAGTAATGTGAAGTGCAGAATTGGTTGGCTGTGGTGGAAAAGAGAAGGGAAGCGTGTCCATCTGTTTGTCACAGCAGTTGGCCTCATTGGCAATCTGTTTCAAGGAAAGATCCTGAAGCAAAATGTGAAAAAAAAAAAAAACTAATATTTTTTTCTGTTTGTGGGAAGCTTTGAAGCAAGAAGTAAAAGGGTCCCAACCGAGCACAAACATATCGACACATAGAAATGATGTCGTGGATATGACCATAAGGCGTAACCAAGAAATTGACAAAAATAAAAAACAGTCGCACTAATTTGTATCTACATTTTATACCTTTATAATGTCATTTTTTTGCTTGTAAAACTAAATATATGCATATATATATTATATTCTCGCATCGTGGCTAACTGTCTTGGGTAGGATGTCTTGCCAGGTCCTTGTCAGAATAACAACAAACAAAATTTTGACTAAGGCTCAGTTTGTCAATTCATACCCTCAGTGCTGAGCTGCAGATTACAATTTGATTCCTGTAAGCAAATCACTGTGCGACTGTTTACTTATTACTTTGTTTTTCAATGTAGTTAAGAATTTCACGAGTTATGGAGATAAAACCTTTCATTAAACCTGTTATACAATTTAATTTAAGTGTATATATTTGTAGGAAGACCTTTTTTTGTTACTAAACCTCCTTTGATTAAGTTCATTTGTATGAAACATGGCAGATTATGACCCCCGATCAAGCCAGATTATCTCTATGTATTGATAAAAGTGGTAGAATACAATGACACAATTCAGTCGGTGGGAAATAAGCAGCTTTCAGCATTTGACTTTGTCTTGTGTAAAAGGTGCAAACTGTTATTATGAGCCCAGGGTTTTAAGCCCGACTTGTAACTATATCTCAGGCTCTTATTTTGAAGTTGCAAAGGAAGTAGCTCTGAGGTGCTCCGTTGTCTAGACAAAGGCTAACAGTGCTCGTTGGGCTAACCCATCAAAGTGTTACAGCAGCTTTAAAGAAGTCTCCACGCCTTTTAATCGGGCAAAAATGTATAAAGTTTATATTCAAGGCTAAAAAAACTTAATTGTGAAACAGACAAGCAAGAGACTAATGATTTTTAAACAGTGTCGACGCAGTAACGGCTAAAGCTAAAGTTAGCATCTGATTCGCAGCTTCTTGTCAGGACTCATCTTAAAATGTGAATAATTAGAAATGCTTTCTTCTACATGTGAAAACATAAAAAAAATTCAGTTCTCATTATTATCTATGTCAAATAATTATGACTTAGATACATATAATTATGACTTAGATACTAAATATGATTTGCTATACTATAACATACAATACCTATCTAACTGTATCGATACATAAAAGATGTGTGTATATTTATATATATCGGTAGATATATGCATACAAGCATGCAGACACACTACTCAGAAACCTATTCGGTTTATTTGGGATAAATAAAGTATTTTTGAGCTGAATTTGAATTTTCTATCATTTATACTCTGTTTAAATCAATAAATTGTTATTGTTTCCTCCAACAGCCTCTATTTTCTTTTGCATATCTGAGTGTTTGTTTTCCATCCTCTTTCATGAATCTCCTCCCCTCAATATGGCCATCTTCTCTTTATAAATATCCCACTTTTCTTAAATTTTTCCATGATTCTCCATCCCTCTCTCTTTATCAGGTCTCTTTAATCCACTCCTCCTCATCATCATCATCTTCTTCTACAATCCGAGCCAGTGCATCCCACTCAGAAACCAAGGCCTGTTCCTGCGTTTTCCTCTCGCTGCTCGCTGAACGGGGACAGACATGTCTTTGTCCCCCCCGGCCTTCGGCGACTGCAGATGTGTGGGAGCCTACAAAGCAAACCCTGTGGCTTCATCGTTTCTTCTTTGTTTTCACTTTGCTGCTTTTGAGAACGAGTTGGAGGACATGAGGTCAAGTGCGACTATGATGTGCAGGGCTACTCTAAGTCAGCTCAGATGCATCTAGGCACAAACTGTGCTCATTTATAAGTTATGAGGAACCCAAAAAAAAAAAAAAGGAATAAAGGCTCCTTATATAAGGGGAAAATGATTCATGTCTGCAACAAACTCAAGATTTTCAGAAACAACTCCTCACACCGGGCAGAAAAACATGAAATAACCATACTGTCAGGACAAATTTCCAATTTCCAACATTTATCTCTCAGAAGAAGCCTGTAGCTGCTGATAACCTATTTTCTTCAGCTGCAGTGAACTAAAGGATCAGACATGTTTCCACCATATTGCTTGCACCTGTCAGCTCCATTAAAATCAGAGGACATGAGGGACGGGAGAGAGGGGATGGGTCGGAGATGCATGCAGGAATAACAAATAGAAAAACAGAATATCTTTATATGTATAAGCCTAAAGTAAGACTGCATACAACAAATTCACGTTAAAAGAAATTGTTTTGAGAAATTAAAGTCTCATTAAGCAGAATGAGAAAGCTCCAGGCCAGAACCTACAAGATTTATCTCAGAAAAATGACATTATATGACCAGAGAGAAAATAAGTAACACGAATATATAAAATAAAATCTAAATTAATATACATTTGAATTTCTTAAATATATTTAAACATAAATTTGTCATAATGATGGATTTAAAAAAAAATACATAGAGACATTTCTGCACCCACATGCATATTTTCAGATATATTTATAGCTCTTAAACTATAATTAGGTCTCTCCTGCAGCCGGTTCCATACCTGGATGGTTTACAAAGAGCTGAAGATCATTTCACACCTTTCCTCTCCGGTGATAAACCTGCATGGCAGCTCAGAGTGTGGCTCGGTCACATCCGAGTCGGGACAGCTCATCCAACAGAAAAAACCCTGCAAGATTTAACCCGTCCCGCTCCAGACACATTCGTAGGACCCGCACACTCCTCGGCTCATGCAGGAGGGATAAAAAAAAGCCACAACCCGCCTACCTCCTTCCTCCGCCGGCCGGTCAGGGATGCAGTCCGGCTGATGCTGATGTGAGGACGCCTTTCAGAGGTGATTCTCTGCAGGAATGCTTGCCTGCTCTCCCTCCCTTCCTGCCTCCTCCGAGGAGCTGCACTTCACGACTCGGGCACCAACATTTGGAAGATGATCAGAATATGTCGGGCTCCGCTCTCGGAACCACTCGACTCGAGTTCGGGAAACACCGGGGCCACGGCGTCCAGAACCACATCACGACCCGGGGATATTAAAATCTGTCTTGGTTTAAGCTGTATGCCACTTTGGCGACATTATTTACGTCAGAATAATATTTGAAATATATTTCCTTCATTCTTTCTGTAGAATATTCCCTTTTGTTGTAGCTTTTATTTCGTAAAAATAAGATAATCTGTAATTGGTCCCATCTTATTAACGTCAGCTCAGTCAGGGGTGTCCAAAGTGCGGTGCGCGGGCAATTTGCGGCCCTTGATTTTATTATTTGTGCCATTGACAAGATGATTGAACTGCAATTCAGAAACAGTTCAGGTTGAAAGACGAAATGTTTTCACTAACAAATCCAAATATTTATTAAAATGGAAGAAGTTAGGCTGCGACAGACTGGCAACCTGCCCAGGGTGACCCCACCTCTCTGGAGATAGGCATTAGCACCCCTCCTGACCCCACTATGGACAGCGGTGTTAGAAAATGGATGGAAGAAGTTAGGCGCAACACAAAGCATTTCTAAGTTTTCACATCCGTGCTATTATTTGCAGGTTTTCTCATTCAAATGAATTCTTGCTGCAATTTGCAGTCTTTTCGATTTCTTGAAAATAGACTGTTGCTGTTTTCATTGGAGAAATACACACTCAGTTGCCCATTTCCTTGAATTTTAGTATGCTACTTTTAATAACTGTATAGTATTACTTCCCCTATATTTTAATTTGTCCTTACTGTTTTCTTTATTTGTTTTTGCTGTTTACCTGTAACTTCCTGTTGGCACACCTGAAATTTCCCATAATGGAACAACAAAATAAATTTCCATCCTATGTTTGACACAGTTTTTATGTTTTGGAGCTCCAATAATTTACAATTTTTTTTTTAAATCACATTGTTAGTTTCAATAAAATATTACATGTTCAGATTTTTGTTGAGCAGCAAAACATAATTAAAAAGTAAAAATACATATTCTGACGTCCACAAGTTCTTTATACTTGTAGAGTTTGGAACCTCTGGCAAAATGTTTGGACACCACAAGGTTAGGGTATTATTTAAATGTAATATTTTGTTATAAAGTCAACTATGCCATGGACAAGATGATTGAATAATAAATATTTGATTCTATTTCATGAGACTATTATTGAGAGATATCATAAATATGATGCATGATAAATAAATACGATAACTACAAGCTAGATATACCTTTATTGAGATATAAAAATGTTAAAAAGACAAAGTAATAAACTTGCAAAGTCATAATTTTGATTTAGCTGTTAAAATGATGACTTGGAGAGAGTCAGGTGCAACTGCCAGAAGGTTTTCATACTTTGTTTTTGAAATATTCCTAACAAAAAATCAAAACAAGAGACATACTGTAAGCAAAATGAATAATTTGAGATAATTTTGACACTTATGCAAGCAACGCATTGCGAGAAGATTAAATACAAACAATTGCAATATATACAAAACCTTTAATGTTTTCATGATTTGACACAATCGCCGTCAAGTCCCATGCGAGGCATAAATGACAAGCTTTTGTTTTTACCTTTAAAAGACGACTTACAGCAAAAACCCAGTAAGAGTTTCACATGTAGTGAATGTGTGTGATGGACCAACAGGATGAAATGTTGCTGCTGCAGCAGCATCATAGCTATGAGGAAATCATGGTGTGCATCTCTCCCTGAAGGCAATAAGATTGAATGACGCCTTAATGGAGTGGAGCTGCTTAATGGAAACTGGAGCAACAGCCACAGTGCTGAGCACATGGTCATCTGACGTATAAAAGGCACTTCGCCCGTTTTATCAGCACAGGAAACAAGCCTGTTGTACCTACAGACATCTGGAGCAGATGGATTTCAATAAAGAGCCTTCAACACACACACGATTCAAACATATCAAACTTCATGACGAAAACTAATCCGTCATAAACGTGTCCCTAGCCCAGCCTCTAGAGACACGTTCTAAATGTTTTCTAGAAACAATGTTCCTAGAAAATTTGTTTGCATTTGATGGTAAATACATTCCTAACCTTTCACGCACACAGAAAGTCTGTCATTTAATCTCAAGGAGATGCACAAACCCAAACATTTTCTCAGTGAGACATCGTGCGCTAAGTCTTCTTTCGGCCTCTTCCTGTGCTCTCAGCAGGATGCAGGTTGGTGGCAGAGGGAGAAAGTGCATGAGTCTGCAAATCGACTCTCTGCTGCAGGATTCCTGTGAGAATAAACTCAGCAGTGACGACGGGAAGAGACGCAGACACGGCGGGGCCACACAGCCGCAGGTCCTCCTCGCAGGAAATCACTACGGTCCGAGGCTGAGAGACGGAGAGTCGGGGGACAGAGGACCGGTGAGTCAGAATAACGACACAAGACAACATCTACATCTCTGCACTCCACTGGCACCTTGTGAGCCGAGGGCATCTTTGTCAGGAAGGTAGCGCCGCAGCAGGTGATGACGTCTTTCATGTGAACCCGTTCCGGCTTTACCGACTTTGTGACGTGGATCTTATATCCCTGAAACAAAGAAGCAAAGTGATGCGTTGCGCATTCGTGTAAGCAAATACAGAAGGATTAGTCTATTCTTATTTAGGTTCTGTAACAGAGAATGAGAAAATCGATATAAAAGCTCTTGGCATCAGAGTTTGGTGAGGTGTACACCCTAATTTTAGCTTGCCATCAGCATTTCTTTGTTGTTTCCAGCTCTCATCTTACCACGGTGATGAAACTCTAAAGCCCCGGAAACATAATAAGAACACAAACAGCAAATGTCAAATTAATTCCCACCGGTTCCTGAAACTCCACCTGAAACACAGTGGCTTGCAAAAATATCCACAACCCTCGAACGGTTTCACATTTTCTCACGTTACAATCAAAAACCAAGGATGTCATCTGACATCAGCAAGAAAAACTGCTCAATTGTAAAATGGAAGGAGAAAAAAAGAGATTTGGTGTCTAGATGTTTGTTTACAAATAAAAGTCTGAAAAATGTGTGCACTAGCATTCAATACATTGTAAAAACTAATTTCTCTGCCGATCACTTTTGTCTCAACCAAGGGGATAATTGCCAGATTTTCTCTCCTGTTCATAAGTTCTTTCTGTAAGCATTTGGGAAAACAGTGAATCAAGTGGCTTCCATTAACACTTGTGAAGAGGACCGACAGACAAACAATCCCAACAAAATACATCAAAGTTTGTGGCTGTAATTTGACACGAAAACTTCAAATGGGTATGAATACTTATGCACTGCACCGCAAACACTTTGCAGGGTGGCACACACACACACACACACACACACACACACACACACACACACACACACACACACACACACACACACATCAACATCGGATGAGAACCGGGAATGACTCAAACATTTCTGCATGTCTACGGTGAGTCAGTCTTTCTCACTAGCACTGCTGCGCCGTTACACCCGTTACACCACTGACACGCCGTCAACCACTCAGTCAGAGAATAATAAGAGAACAAATAAAGAGGATGAGGTGGTACCTGGAGGAGAGGCTGACTGCTGGCAGTCCTCAGAGACTCCTGCAGGGAGAAGCTGAACTTCTTCTCCTGCTCTGGATCTTTCACAACAAAAGGAAGCGGAGAGAGGAAGCTCCCAGCTTTACAGCTCTGAAACCAAGAGAGGAGAGTCTGAGTGGGACCCAGCCGATCTGAGAGAGCAAGTCTGTGTTGCATTTAGCAGCTCCTGCTAATAACCTCTTCCAGCCACTGAGTGGTGACGATTGGGACACCTTTAGCCACGGCGCACAGGAATTTGACCGTCCTTCGCATTTTATCGGTCACGAGACAGTTCATGTCGGAGACGCCTCTGGCCATGGCGCCTCCTAAACGAGCCAGCAGCTGCTCTCCATCTTCATACACCACTCCGGTGAACAGAACCTGAGAAAACAGCAACACAGGTTCACTTCAACAACAATAGAGTTTTACTCATGAACTGAGATCTAATTCTATCGGGCAGCTGGTTGAGCAAATATGGAAACATATGAGCCTAATTTTATTGTTATTACAGATTTTTTAATTCTTCATTTGTCTGGTGAGTCGTGAGAAATGAGACCTTAACAAATCGAAAATAAAGTTTAACACTCCCACTTCAAATAAAAGTTATGATACAAGTTTCCTTCCATGATAAGAGTCGTATCTGGATGCAAAACACAACAAATCAGAAAAATAGAGGATAAAATAGTTAAAGATCGTTACTGATTGTTGCTGCTTCATGTGATATCAACTCAAATATGGATAAAAAGTAACTACAGTTTTTGAAAAACATTTATAAGTGAAAGTCACACAGTTTTTATTGGTGTTGAATAGTTAAATGCATAACTTACAATGAATTTGTTGCCACGTATCCACGCTTCTACTATACACCTTTTGCTCGAAATTTTGACATTTTTCACATTTGTTTACAAGTCTGAAACTGAGAGTCAACTCAGAATTTTTTTCAGTGGCCCTAATCCTCTCCCATATAAATCTTTCATTTTAGAGCCTTAAAGGAAAGATTCATAAGCCTCTGATATCCTGTCTGTGTTATTTGTTGGGTAAAGGATAGAAATACAGACCTTGTAGGTTTGGCTCCTGGATCGTACTCGGCTAACTATAGGTGGAGACGCAGAGGAGGAGCGCGGCGTCTTAGCCACGAGGGAGGAGTTTGAGGAAACACGCCGCTTCCGGGAAGGAGTCATAGCCGAGATCTGAGCGAGTTACAGAGGAGAAGAAAGTAGGACAAGGCAGGAGCTGAGCTGTAGTAATTTGTATAACACTTATAAGATTACTTCTTATATCAGTCTTAATTATTGATTGTTTTGTCTTTCTTCCAAGTTGTGAATGGATAATCTTGCTCTCTGATGTTTGACACATCAGATCAGTGACAAAATGTAAGAAGAAAGTGTGGGTAACTATCAACTCACTGAATCCATTAGATTCAAAGTTGAGCAGAAGAAAAATATGCGCCATCATATAGATTACAGGTGTCCACGGGCCAAATTCGGCCAACTATTGCCACCTATGTGGCCCTCTAGATTCTAGAGGATAACATATTTTAATATAGTTGTATGCTTAAATAGTATTTTATCAGTCAAATCAAAACAGTTTTCATTTACAGGGTCAATTACAGGGTCTAATGTTAAAATTGTTACATTTTAAGAAGTGCAAATCAAATGCAGAGAAATTTTACGTTAGTGTTATGAATACATTCTCCCACAATCGGCCCTTTGAGAACATTCATAATTGTGATGTGGCCAGAAACAAAAACCAGTTGGACACCACTCTTAAAAAAGGAAGTGCATTACATTACAGGGGTTGGAAAGGCTGGTTCATGGAGCAAAATACAGCTTTGAGTAAAGCTAAAAGCTTGTTGTGTTTTAGCCATTTTGGATGGATGTGTGCAGTAGACTGCAAATCTTATTTTTTAAAGTGGAACAACAAAATCACCTCTGACTCAATCTCGTTTCCAGCCAGTTCCATGGAAGAACCAGACGTCTGAGTTTCCTGCATCTCCAGGTTTTTATTTTTCTGGACCAAGGTTGTTCGACCCCTGGCTTTCTTCCCAGCTGCCCCCGCCTTCTTTCCATCTGTTACTTCCTGTGTAGGGAGCGACTCTTTGTTCTTCTTCACCTGAGTGCTTGAGGCTCTGCTTGTTCTCCTGCCCTGTATCCCAACAGGAATCTCTTCCTGTTGCTCCTCTTTCCCTCCTGGTTCTGTTGATTTTTTTCTCTTGTTTCTGGCCTCGTCACCATCAGTCGCTGTGGGAGCCTCAGTTTCCTCCACAGGCTTGGTCTTTACTGTTGTTGCGCCTCTGTTTCTCATGTTTCTCTTGGACAGAGTGGTCTGTTCCTGATTTATCTGAAGGCCCTCATCATTGAAAACTGAAGCTTCAGAGCAATTGGCAGTGGCTCGCCGCTGCACCCTGCTGGTACCAGCAAGCTTAGTGTCTGCTTTCCTTTTCTCATCTTCCTGCAGAACCTCAGTGGCTTTCTGTTCATTTTCTTTAATCACAACATCAGGCTGAGGCGATGTTTTCTTCCCTCTTCCTTGTGGTTTTCCTCTGGAGAATTTAGAGGTCACACTGACCGCCTGAGCTTCAGCGTCCGGTTGGACTGCAGTTGCCGTCCTTCGGCGGCTGCTTCTCACAGTATCTGTCTGGAAGGCTTGGCTGCTCCTCTTCGCTCCTCTTTCTGTTCCTTTGTTCTCCGGGGTGTTGCTGTTGACGGAGGAGATCGACCGCTCTGAGCTGAGGGAGTTGGAGCGGGATCGGGTTCTCCTGGCTGGGACATCCTCGCTCACGGCTTCACGTACGGCTGTGGTTGTTCTCCTTGCAGTTCTTCGCACTCTTGCAGAACCTTTGGGGTTCTTCTCTTCATTCTTGTCTTCTTGTGATTCTTTGGGCTGTTTTTCTTTCTCCAGTCTTGCAAGGTGTTCTTGGTTTGTCTTTGTTGTTTCCACAGTTGTTCCCTTTTCTTCTTCTACTTCACTTCCTGATTTCATCTCCTTTAATCTGTGTTTTCCTTTTGAATTTTCTTCCCTCTCATTTTGTCTCTCTGTCTCCACATGTTCTCCCTCTTCTTTGTCTCCTTCCTCCTTTATCAGGCTCTTATTTTCATCACTCCTTTGTCTTTCATCATCATCCTGTTTCTTTGTACTTCTTCTCCCTCTCGTCCGTTCATTAGCTGCCTTCACCTCTTCCTGATTGTTGTCATCCTCAGATTTGGTTTTTCCTCTCCGCCCTCTGGTGCTTGGTAATGGTTTACTTTCAGTCTTCATCTGTCTATTGTGACGTGAAGAACATGGTACCTTCTCTTCCTCTTCTCCAAATCGAGTTTCCACTGAACTTGAAATGCTGGATGCATCAAATACATCGTTTTTTTCCAGAGTATTTGGTGGAGATACTTCAGAAACTGTGACCGGCTGCATCTCTTCTTCAAGCTGAGATCTGGATGTCCCTTCATTCATCAGCTCTTCCTTCTCCTTGTGTCTATCTGTTTCCTTTTCGTCTTCTCCAAGTTTTCCAACTCTTTGCTCTGTTATCTGGCTCTTGTTTTTGTCCTCATCTGGTTCTCCCTGTTTTCTTGTAGTTCTTCTCCTTCTTGTTTTTTGATTAACCACCTTCACTTCCTGCTGATTTTTGTCATCCGTAGTCTTTGTTTGTTCTCCTGTTTCTTTGGGACGTGGTGAAACTTTCATCTCGTCAGTTTTTCTCTGAGATTCAGAAGCTGAGACTGGCTGCGTCTCCTCTTCCTCAAGATGAAGACGTTTTTCCTTTCTTTTCCGTGGATATGCGACAGATTCATCACCATCCCTTTTCCCATCCCTCCCTTCTGTCTGGACTTCAGCAGGAGGAACCCCAGCAGCGGTGAGAGGAAGAGCCTTCGACCCCCTTTCTTCATCGTCGCAATTTATCAGAGGCTGGGTCTGCTCATCTTCAATGTGCAGCGGCTTCACTTTCCTTTTTCGGGTGGAGATAAAGTCTTGGCTGCTTTGTTCTTCCTCACATGTAACCGAACGCTGAGATTCAACAGCAGAGACTTGAGAACCAACTAGAGATTGTGTCTCGTCTTCCAGCTGCAGCGGCTTTGCTTTCTTTTTCCGCAGGCTTGGCATCAACTCAGAATCGTCGTCATCCTCACCTGAAGTCAAAGGCTGCATTTCACCAGAGTCTGTGCGCTGCAGTGACTCCTCTTCATCAATATGAAGCTGCTTCACTTTTCTTTTTCGTGGAAGACGGATCTCCGAGTTATTTTCATGATCTGCACATGAATCCATCGGCTCAGTTTCATCAGCACTGACATGCAGGGGCTGAGTTTCAGCGAGCGACAAAGCTGCATCAGTATTTGGGTGCGTCTCCACTTTTGAAGGTCGCAGAGGCTCCGCTGACAACTCTTCATCGTCGCCGCTCTCCTCATTGTCGCTCAGACACGCGGGTTGGGTTTCAGCGAGGCATAAGGCTGAAGAAGTTTGTGGAGGTTTCTGCTCCTCTGCAGATTTTATGGACTCCACTGACAACTCTTCATCACCACTCTCCTCATTGTCACTTGTAAACACGGGCTGTGTTTCTGCTACTGATTCAGAATCAGTGATGCGCCTCTCCGTTTCATTCTTAACGGGTTCTGAGGAACATCCTGGCTCATCATCCTCCGCAGAAGAGAACATTGGCTGGGTTTCAGCCATAGCAATTGCAGATAAAGCCTCTCTTTCAGTCCTGGCAGAGTTTAGTCCCTCATCTTCATCTGAACCTTCATCATAAGGTTCTGGGATATAAGCCTGAGTTGCTTCCATAGTCAAGTCAACACAGGTTTCTTTTTTAGACATTTCTGAAGATCTGGGAGGTTCCACTTCGTAGGGCTGCGTGGCCTCCAGGTGTGAGTCATTCTCTGCACTTTCCTCATAATCCTGAGTATCCTCCATGTTTACTCTGCCACCGACTGCAGTGTAAGCTTGCATATTCTCCCTGACCTCGCCCTGCAGGTGGCTGCTGTCAGACAGTCCCAGCTGGAAAGAATCATCTCTTTTGGACCCGTCCTCTGGTTTGACAGCAGAGGACTTGAGAACGGAGGCTCGGTTTGGATTCAAGACTTTGTGGGAACTTCTCGTCTGAAGAATGAAAGATTGGGTCTCAGCCACCGCATAATCTTCATCTTCCTGACTGTCTGAGCAAGAAGACATTAGTGCTGGACTTAAGGAGGAAGATGCAGCATCTGCAGGAGCAAAGAAAATAAATCTATATGAATCTAAGCTTGTCACACATTAAAAAAAAAAAATCCCAAAAATGTGATGTGAAGGGATGCAAACAATTAATCTACTAATTGTCGAATATTGGCTCAGTAGATTAAAATTAGTTCAAAATGATGATCTAATAACATCCACTTAGAATCGTGGATTAGACCAACAAGCAACAGTGTCCATCGTTTACGCATGTCCAAGTATAGTTACTAAATATTTCTATGCTCACATTTACGTGGATGTGAAGTAGGGCTTGTGAAGACCTGAGTTTCCATCTGTTCAACTTCTCCTTCTGCAAAAAAGGGACAAAAAAGACAATTTTAATATTCTCTGAAACTTTTCATAACCTTAGGGAAATTTGTCTTACATGGAGACTAAAACTGACTTTAAATAATTTGCCTGGTAAAAAAGAAATGCAAAAATCACTTCTCTTCTGATTTCAAGATTAATCTCGGAGATATAAGAACTTCTTTCAGTGTGGTGCTATAGTTTTACTTGTATTCTTATCACTTGGAGTTTTTAACTTTATTACACTGCATCGGTTTATTTATGAGCGATTACCCGAGACATGAACAGGAGTAGAACAGTTCTGCCAAAGAGGAACCGGAAACCCAGGATTATTTTCTCTCAGCAGGTGGGGGATCTGCCCCTGTTCTACTTCTCCAGGATTTGCCTCCTCATCCTCCACATCTGTGTCACTTTCCATCCTAAGGTCAGCTGGTTTGCCCTCATCTGCAGCTTGGGGAGCAACAGGTTCATCGACATCTGTATCTGCATCTGATTCTGGTTTGGGAGCTCCGGCTGCTGCAGCAGATGGCAGAGGCAGGTCTGCTGCAGCAGCAGGAACAGCAGGGAGTGAGTCTTCTTCCAGGTCCGTATCACTTTCAGACAAAATATCCAAGCCAGCTGCAGTCACCTCCTTACCACAGGTGTGACTGTCTGGATGCAGATTGTGAGGAGACAGAAGTGTTTTGTCTGTTTTGGGATTTTCCTGTTTCCCAACCTCCTCTTCCTCATCCACATCTGTGTCGCTGTCCAAGTGGAAATCTCCAGACTGTACTGAAGGACCGGAGTCAGCGCTGTGCACACACTGAGGTAAAGTCGCTTTGGATGTGACTTTAGCATCATCATCATCATCCACATCAGTGTCACTGTCCATTGTAATGCCCTCAAGCTGAATACCAGAAGCAACTGCAGAACATTTTGTTGCTTCATCAGTTAAAGGCGAAGTTCTTGGAGCTTTATCTGAGACATCCTCATCAACATCAGTGTCACTGTCCAAGTGTGATAGGACTGTGTTTGGGCGTGGATCACTTTTCCCGGCAGGCACCGCCTCTTCCTCTCCTCCCTCCACATCTGTGTCACTGTCCAGGTTAAATTCAGGGGGGGCGTCTCTGGAGACCTGTAGCGTCGACCTGAGAGATTTACTGATTTCTGTAGGACTTTCACTGGCTTCCCCTTTCACATGTCCTCCTCTTTCTTCTGAATACACCACTCCTTTGGATGCTCCTTCTTCTTCCTCCACACCATTTTCCGCAAACACAGATGACTTAGTTTTCTCCAGGTCAACATCCGTCTTCTCCAAGCTGAAACTGATGCATCTGCTTGACCCATTTCTGCTGGAGGAAGACGGTGTGATGGGGCTTTCGTCTTCACTGCAAGACAGCAAAAGACAAGATCACATTTAAGATCTGACAGCAGTTCAGACAGATTTTCTGTCAGTAACTCACACTTTCTGATTTGTTTTCTGTTAGTACTACAGAGCCTTTCAAAAAGTGTTCATATGCTACAAACTCCCAGGTGTTTTATTGGGATCTCATGGCAGCATCATGCTGTGGGGATTTTGTTTTGGAAAAGCTGGGTAGAGTTGTTGTGAAAATGGATGGAGCAAATCACAGAGCAATCCTAGAGGAGACTATATCATGAACTAGAAACAAGTTATTCCTGACAAATTGAAATTATCCTAAAATCTTTAAATACCATTGAGCAACATTTACACACAAAATAGGACCTTTGTGCAGCAAAATGAATTAAGTGATTCATTAAACTTTGCCAATTATAGCACATGTTTTCAAAGAGTGTTGAGAATAGACAAGAAAGTAAAAAAAATCAACTGATTCCCCCAAAATGTGGAAACTATTACTTTTTAATTGGACAAACCTACAAAATACTTTTTATTATTTTGATCTGCACTCATTTAGAGAATACTTTCTCACAAGAATGACTACTTTATTTGTTTCACTGAAATAATGTTACGTTCGGTTGTTTTTGAACAGGAAAATATTCAAATGTGAGGTGTTTTATTGGGAAAAAAAATATATATCTATATATACCACTGGTTTAAATAAAAGCAAACACTACTTTGTGTTCATGCCTTTCACAAAGTCCAGGTAAGATACTTGTATATTTCAGGTTGTAGTGTAATGTGTAAATGTTCAGTATAATATGCAGGTGTTAGAAATGCACTGTAAAAATGAAAACATACCTTTCAGGAACAACTTTGCTCTGAGGGCTTAAGAATACAGAATCACTCAGTCTGGATTTGTGGCAGCCTAAATCAGACACTGAAATCAAAGACAACTGGTGAATAAAAATATAAACAGTGGTTGTGTTTATAAATTGCCAGAAATTTCACATACCAACATCCTTCTGTTTTCTGTTTCCTTTCCCTTCTCTTTCGCTCTCTGAGTCAGAATCAGATTCTGGCACCAAGCTCTCCTGTGGCTGGACTGGAGTTTTCTCAAATGAGAGACAGCCGCCTGTGACAGGAGTCCTCTTAGCCTTTGTGCAACTGCGGACAGATTTCTTGCTTCCTGTGTCAATATCATCCCAGTCTGACAATCTGGCGTTTGCTTCCGATTGTCTTGCTGTCTTCATATCACCAAGGGAAGAAGGGGAGTCCACCCCGGAGCTCACATACCGACATGGGATGTCCCCCAAAACCAAGTTGTCCCCCTCACTGAGGGCATAGCGCACGTTGGGAGTCAGCTTGAGACGTCCCTTACGGGTCCCATTCATGCTTTTTTGGTCCCAAACCACGGCCTCCATGTCCATTTCATGGACACGGCCTCTTCTCCGGTGAACAGAGATGCTGATGGCAGCATGCTGCTTGGATACAGATGGTGCCAACAACTGTAGTGTGCAAAGATTTGGGTCACGACCCAGGAAATTATTTCCCAGGAAGAGGGGCAACTCTAAGTGATAGAGGGAAAATATATTACTTATGTAGTTATGACAGACTATGCATACAGACAAATTTGTGACTCTGGTAAAGATGTGAATAAAAAATTTGAAATGAATGAATTGTTTATTACTCCTACACTGAAACTTTTTAGAAAAAATAAAGAATTAATTTAATTCTGGAAAATTTTATTCTCATCTTATTTCCAGAACTATATTTTAACAAAGTTTGCTGGTATTTCAAAGAGACAAAGATTACATGGATTCAGGATCTTTTGGAAGAGAAAAAGATCCAAAGCATCAAATATTTACCATTGTATTAAGCAGGCATTTAATGCTTTTCCAACTTTTATTCCTGATTTCACACCAGTTTGTGAAAAGATGAAAATCTCATGTGAACAAACAAAATGTATAACTGTTATTTATATAGGGTTTAATGGATGTTATAGAGACTTGGTGACTACAAAATGCCACCTTTCTAAGTTTTTTAACTTCCTTTACCGTCTTCCTCACTACTTGTAGTGCCAAGATACATATAAAGCCTCTTCCAGATTTGCTGTATTAACCTTTTTATGATTGCTCTCAGTGTAGGCTTCAGCAAACATATGCAAGTTGCCATTTTCTTAAGACATATGAAGATCAACACACATAAATAGCTCTTTCCAATTTTCTAAAGTGGCGCAGAGAAATGTCTCTCAGTCATGTCATATTTATCCACCAACAGAGCAGAAAATCATGGCTCACTATTTACAAGATCTATGAAATTATGTAGATCTATGTAAAAATGTAGAAAATGTAAAGATCCCTTTCTACATGTGTCATAAATCAACCACAAACACGCTGTTGATTTTGTTAAAGATAATTAGTATCACATTTTTTTCTGTGCAACATTACGCTGCTACAGTTAAAGAATAAGGTATTTCAATGCTTTTTATGCACATTTCCCCTAGCATAGCATACACATTTCCCCTAGCATAGCATACACTAGAGGTAAAAGTTACCTTTCTCAGGGATGTGTGGATTATTTAAGATGCACAGTTTGGCCAATGGCTTCCTCCTTTCATTTTGGATTTCCTCTTCATTTTCCTCCTCCTCTGACTCTAAGATCGATTCACTGATCGCCTGAGTTGCATCCATTCCTGTTAAAGACCAAAGCAGAATGGCAATGAACTAAAAACAAAGACAATTTCCCCTTCTAAAACCTACTAATGTTAGCTTAGCAACATGCTTGCCTTCTGCAGGGCTACTCCATGCAGCTAACGTTAGCCTTGGTGGCTAGGCCATTAGTAATCTGCAGCTAGCAGACAGACAGAGGCTTCACTATGAACATTTAGCTAGCTTTTTATTGAAATCTTGTATTCTTAATCAAAATCTATTTATAGGTCTGCTCTAGATAAGCCCAAACAACACAGAAATGTTTTTTATTAAGCGTGTATAATTATTTTTTAGTGTCGAAATCACAGCAATTACATTTCTGGCCAACGGTAAACCTGTTAGCCGTTGGTGAGTTCAAATGACAATATTCCAGTTAGCTTAGCGAGAAATTTCCTGGTTATAGTTACTGATTATTATAGTAACTATCCTTATTCTTTCCCAACAATGTTTACTTCTTCGTGGCTAAAAATCGCCCCGTTTGGGAATCACATGGCTGTTACCTTGAAATTAGACAGGAACTATCCGTCTGTTAACGAGGTACTTTGCAGCTCCGTTGGGCTCATCTGTTGATTATTACCCTGGACGCGTTGTGTTTTAATATTCCGACAACCAATGATGGGTTCATGCTCCAGCACAGGCTTCCCGGAGTCTCGCTTTACTCTGTGGACATAAATAAAATGTAAATACTGACCCAACCACGCCCACAATAGGTTCTTGAGCAAAGAGCTACTGGCCAATACAAGTGTCACTTATGACGTACTCTCTCTTTCATTGGATAGTTTTTTTTCCGGAAGCGTTTTTGATTGAACCGACAGTTTCTTAATGGTTTCATTCGTCCTTTTATTTTCGCGCCAGGCACAGAGAGAGAGAGAGAGAGAGAGAGAGAGAGAGAGAGAGAGAGAGAGAGAGAGAGAGAGAAAGAGAGAGAGATTTACAGTTTATGGTTTACAGTTGTTTACTGTAAACCAGTAAACAACTGGTTTACTGGTTTACAGTTTATTTTTAAAAATACTTCAATACTTGTGGGATCTTTTGTTTAAAGCTAGGCAAACAATTTTTTATAAGGTTTTGATCAAACCATTAAGAAACTACTGGTCTATTGCTAAAACAGTAACTATTGACCAGAAGGGATTTTTTTTTCTCAGCAATGCCTTACTGCTGAGATAAAAATATGTCTGGCTGATTTTCTGGGTGTCTCTGATTGTTATGGACACAAACAGAGACATATACTTGAATTATGTATTGTTCATCACAAGTAATGTTATCAAGACAGTCACCAATGCTGTCACATATTGCATATTTCTAATATTGTGGGCCCCGCTCCCTATCAGGGATTCTCAAATGTATTCACAGCACTTCTCCTTTTCCGCCTTTTGCTATGTTGCTGCCTTCTTACAAATTGTGTTAGAATAATCCCCTTCCTTAAAATTCTAAATACAAATACTTCATCATGACAATGTGGAAAAACATTTTTGAAAATGTCTTAAAAATAGAAAGGCAGGCATTCATAGCTTTTACCTAGTCCTTTGTTGAGATGATTGTGCACAGCATTTTATGATTTTTCCAGAAATGTTCAGTCAGTTTCAAGTCTAGACTCTGGCTTGGCCACTCGAGGACGTTCACAGAGTGATTCTGAAGCCTTTGAGATCTCATCAAACCAGAGTGTTTTGTATCTCGAGGTCAGAGTCCTCCTAGTGTCTTTTGGTAAACTCGAGAGAGGCTGCAATGTGCTTTAAGAAGTGACTTTTGCCCTGTCACTCTACCATACAGGCCTGATTGCTTGATTGCATCAGAGATGGTTGTCTTTCAGGAATGTTATTATGTCCCCCTGCAAAGCTGGAGCTCTGACAGAGTGACCTTTGGGTTCTTGTTCACCTCGCCGACTAAGATCATTAGATTGCTCAGATTAGACAGCCGGAGCGCTCTAGGAAGAGAGTCCTTGTGGTGCCAAACTTCTTCAATATTCAAATTATGGAGGCGCATAGTCTCATTCTTGAAAGCAGCATAAATTTTTCCATCCTGTTTTTAAGGACAGAATTCACAGACAATTTTGTTTGACATCTGACCTGCAATGTGAACTTTAGGAATAAAGTTCAATACATTAAAGATGTAGAAACATCCCAGATGACCAATCAGTGGAAACGGCTCAATTTGAGCGTCATGAGAAAGACTGAATAGTTATGTAAATGTGTTTTCTTGGTTTTATATTTTTAATACATTTTCCACATCATTGTTATGGGGTAGTTGTGTGCAGAATTTTGAGGAAAGAGATTAATCCAATTTGAAATAAGTCTAACAAAATGGGGATAAAGTGAAGAACTGTGACTATTCTTTGGATGCACTGTCTTGCACTGCATTGGTGAGGTGTGGCATGGAGAGGATCAGCCTGTGGGTCTGAAATTAATCTTGCTCATATACTGGCTATATTCATGTATAACCATCAGGTGATGTTGATTTTTGTCAAGTGCATTTTCTAGTCTCTCGCAATCTCCATGCCATTTAATACCTGTATACAGTAAAAGACCACAAGAATCAGACAAGAACCAGACAGCTTAATTTGTCAACTTTATTGGTACTGAATGACAGGGGACTTCTACTGCAACCTAAAGTTTGAACACAGTTAAGTTTTCCTAGTAATGCTATTGAGTCTATGTGGGGGTGTTGGTTACTTGTAGTTTGTTCCTTTCATAGTTTCATTTTGGCAATGACTTTTTGACTTCACATCTTCAGGCATCCTCTTCGGCCTCCTCCTCAAACTCACCCTCCTCCTCAGCAGTGGCATCCTGGTACTGCTGGTACTCTGACACCAAGTCGTTCATGTTGCTTTCTGCCTCGGTGAACTCCATCTCATCCATACCTTCACCTGTATACCAGTGGAGGAAGGCCTTGCGGCGGAACATGGCTGTAAACTGCTCAGAGATGCGCTTGAATAGCTCCTGGATGGCCGTGCTGTTGCCAATGAAAGTGACGGCCATCTTAAGGCCACGGGGTGGGATGTCACAGACAGCGGTCTTCACGTTGTTGGGGATCCACTCGACAAAGTAGCTGCTGTTCTTGTTTTGCACATTTAGCATCTGCTCGTCCACTTCCTTCATGGACATGCGACCGCGGAACACAGCAGCCACTGTCAGGTAGCGGCCGTGGCGTGGGTCGCAAGCAGCCATCATGTTCTTTGCGTCAAACACCTGCTGGGTCAGCTCTGGAACCGTCAGGGCACGGTACTGCTGGCTGCCCCTGCTGGTGAGGGGAGCAAAACCAGGCATGAAGAAGTGCAGACGAGGGAAAGGCACCATGTTGACGGCCAGTTTGCGGAGATCAGCATTGAGCTGGCCGGGGAATCGCAGGCAGGTGGTTACGCCGCTCATGGTGGCGGACACCAGGTGGTTAAGGTCACCGTAGGTGGGTGTGGTCAGTTTCAGGGTGCGGAAGCAGATGTCATACAGGGCCTCATTGTCAATGCAGTAAGTTTCATCTGTGTTCTCTACCAGCTGGTGGACTGACAGGGTAGCATTGTACGGCTCAACCACTGTGTCTGAAACCTGTAGATAAACAACTTTAATTCAGTCATATGATCTTAAAATAGGGAACCTACGGCTAATCAAACTAAATTTAAATCCCAAACAGAGCATGTGCCATCACAAGGATCAGTTACCTTGGGGGAAGGCACCACACTGAAGGTGTTCATGATCCGATCAGGGTACTCCTCACGGATCTTGCTGATCAGTAGGGTTCCCATTCCAGAGCCTGTTCCCCCACCAAGAGAGTGGGTAAGCTGGAAGCCCTGCAGGCAGTCGCAGCTCTCTGACTCCTTGCGAACCACATCCAGAACAGAGTCCACCAACTCGGCTCCCTCTGTGTAGTGACCTTTGGCCCAGTTGTTTCCAGCACCGCTTTGGCCTGTGGAGAAGATAGAAAGTGATGCGTTTTTTTCTTGATGCTTTAGTATTTATTCATAAAATAGTAAGATTTATTAAGTTTCTACTCACCAAATACAAAATTGTCAGGTCTGAAGATCTGTCCAAAGGGCCCAGACCTCACAGAGTCCATAGTTCCAGGCTCCAGATCCACGAGAATGGCTCTCGGTACATATTTACCTCCTTCACAAGAAAGAGAAGAAGACAATGAAAGAGAAAGATGAAGAGCAAAACAGTTCAATATTGTATGAAAAAATAAATAAAAGTTGTAATAAACTTCTGACATTACCAGAGAAAATGATCTATAAATGTTTAATTAAACAGTTTTTAAGAGGGAAGCTAACCTGTGGCCTCATTGTAGTAGACGCTGATCCTGTCCAGCTGCAGGTCACTGTCTCCATGGTAAGTGCCTGTGGGATCAATGCCGTGCTCGTCGCTGATCACTTCCCAGAACTGCAGACACAAAACGGAAGTGATCACATGCCTGTTACTTTCAATAGAAAAAAAACGCTTTGTATATCCATGTGGTTTATGAAACTGGGGCATTTAAATGGCTAAAACAGCAGTGGGATTGCATTTTTTGCAGGCTGACGGTTAGGCCCTTTTAAGCGTGTCATATCAAAGGCATTTCCTGCAACGCAGCTGTTAATATTTCCACAGCCGCCAGCTGATGACACTGCAGAACGCAGCTCTTTCACATGTAAAATATGACAGAGGAGCAGCACAAAGGAGCTACAGAGAACTCTGCACGCCGTACTGCGAATAAACTTCATTTGCACCCAGTCGTTCAACACAGGAGGACAGTGGCCATCTGTATTCAAGTCTTTTTAAAAAGACTGCATTCAAGATCTTTAAAGACAAACCCATTCAAAAATCCAGTGTGATTATGCAGGCGATTATTAGCTTTGACCACATTTTCAAACATTTTCTTTGCTTTTAATTTATTTATGTTTTATTATTTTAAAATGTATTCATCAAAATTATGATTTCCTTTATATGGATGAGCCGTATTGTGGGCAAGCAGTCACTTTGGGAGTCAGCGGTGGAATGCAAATCATGACATTTAGATCGATACATAGCAATCAGTAATGGCAAAACGAGGCCAGATGAGGTCGAGAAGAACAAAAGATCTGCACAAAACAAAACAGACACAGAGATGAGAGAACTGATGCAAGGCTGAAGGTGACACAATAGATGGCTATCAGCAAAGATGAAGAATCACAGTGAAAGAATGAGGACAATAAGCAGGAAAAAATGCCACACCCTGACCCAGATTCCTGCAATGTATGCATTCAGCATTTCTGTCAATCACATAAGCTGGACATCTGAGTCAATGGATCCCAAGGGAGTGGAAACAAATAGAGATCTTATCTGAAAGGGCAGCAGTAGTAGTTTTATCAGCTTAGTCAAACAAGGAGCAAAAATAGCGAATTCAGGTGAATAAACATTTACTTGCTTTTCTGTCCAACCTTATTTATAGCAACAAGTATAAGGAAAAGATGAATACAGATTTTCTAATACTGTGTGCATTAGTCATAAGCGTTCTACAGAGACAATGCAAGCAGATGCAGATTAAAGCAATTGCCTCTGCATCCACTGTGCATCAGCTGTTTCCTCCAGTCTTCCCCCACCCTTCTTTTAATTTGGTTATGGAAGGAAAGACATCGATTACAAAGGAGGGTCTGGCTTTCCAGGACATAAGCACCTCTGCCAGTACTGCATCATGACTATACTGATGCATCTTTTAAAATCCAGCCTATTGCTGTTGTGCAATCTTGAAGATTAGAAGTAAACATATGAAATGATCAGCTGTAGCATAAAGA